CAAATTTAACAGTGTGTGTATGAAACATGGTGGATTTTCAATTTCAATTCATTACATTCCTGAAATTAGATTTTACTAGAGGCAACTTCAAGAAAGGCACATTGCTTTGCAAATGCCATGATTGCCATGCAGGTATAATTAAATTCTGCGGCCTGTTCAGTTCAGATCATGCATCTATTGAATTATCTTAAAATAATACTGAAAATCAATTAACTCTTTATGGCATTAGATTTGCTTCAAAAGTTTTGCATACAAGTGCTTTTTTTTTGGGTGATGAATATTAGCCTTATTTGCAAAACTTTTGAAGAGTGAAATGCAAGGTGTTATATTTGCTTCAATAGGTCAATCTCAATTTTATATTATGGTAGATCTCTCTTACCCAAATAGCTTAGATAGCCAATGCGAGCAGTCAGACTTGATACATGCAGACAATTTATTTACACAAGCTTCATCCAACAAGGATAAATATAATGATAGGGTCTTGCCAATGATGTTGATATGAGTGTAATGATCTGGTGCACAGGTGAACCTTCAAATAACAAGGAATGTATCATTAGCTTCTCTCAGTCTGAGGACAGTTTAAACGGTAAGACTTCTTTTGAAGCCTTAACATCATTTCTAAATTATACGTCACTAACACACTACTGCAGCAAGGTCTTATTTTCACAGCAAAGTGGTACACACTATAATGACTTAATTTGATTCTCATGTGCAGAGGGCCCATATGCAAAAGAATATGTGTTTGTTCACAGACAACATCAGAGAGAGACCTAACTCCAATTATGTCTAACAATTCTAATAATGATCTCAGTAGCAACACTATCAGAGTAAACTGAGACTAAAAGTGGTTTCTCTTTCCCAATTTTTTTTTCCATTCTTAATCACTGGACAATAAAACTTTTGAGAATTGGGATTCTGGGTCATATTAATTCAAATCATCAGGGTCAATAAACTCAACATGGTCCACATACTCCATTAACACTGTTTGTAAGCTCTAGATTGATGAAGGAAAACCATTTCATGTACTTAGATACAGTGCGTCTACCCTGGCAGGAGTATAAATTGGTTCAGGCAATAAAAACCAAGAAAAGCTAACAAAAAATTGATTGCTAGGTTTGAGCATTGCATGGGATTGGCTATCATTCTCTGTTTATTTTGAATAAAAGCCAGTATATACATGTAAGTGCTGAGTAAAGGAAAATTGATAAGGACTACTTACTGTGTTTGTGGCTTTTCATGATTCACTAGACCACAGATTTGAGAAAGCACTTTGCTCAGTTCTGTTTTCCTGTATAATAATCAAAAATAAAAAAGTTAATAATTCTGTGATAAAAAAATTAACTACAAGAATAAAAGAACATACTTTAATAAGATGTTTGTTCCTATGGTAACCAGGTGACAAATATTAATGATAATAACTATTCACATTTAAAATATGGAGGTAATTAAAACTTAAAACCATACTTTATTTAAATCAAAACTGTTTCACATAAAAAGAAAAGGCTAAATCTTCACTTCAAGCAGCAACACCATGCTGCTTGTAGATTTTCTGCATCAAATTTCAAATGCATATATGTGCACCAAACCAGATTTTAAGTTTCTGATCAAAAATATTATGTAAATTGAAATGACAAATAAGATATCCATAACAACCACATGTTTTGACATATGCATAAGTGGGGATGTTTTAACAATGAAGAAAAACCAGCTGGAAACACATTTAAAAATCACTTCTTCCTGTTTTAAATATTCATGGCTTTTGAATTCAAATTTGACAGTTTACGGGTTGGGAGTCATAAATAAGAACATACTGGTGCTACACATAACCTGTATATATTCTTTTTGGAGAGTTTAAGGGTTAATACAATCTATTCAAAAATGCTAGAATAAACTACTTAGTAAGATTAGATCTGCTTGAGGCAAAAGCTTAATTGAGGTGTAGTCAAGTCACCCAGAGAGAAATTAAGACTCGATGTGATAAGGAATAAATTGAGGGGCCAAGTTCCTAAGAAACTGTGTTGCTGCTTAAGTGGAAGGGGAGGGGGGAGGTATAAGAGGATATTTTGGTTTTATCAACTGAGTTGATAATGTGAATTGGGCATAGTAAAGAGATTCTAAAGCTTGCGTTTTGAATGTCAGCCCTTCATCAGAATGAAATAGATTCCTCTGACTAAGGGCTTATGCATGAATTATCGATGTAATAAAATGAATGGTTTGGACCCTAAGGTATCAAGGATTATCAGCAATTTTTCTAATGTGGTCACAGTTTTAAACTTGTTGTATAATGACAAAAGGTTGAGTTAGTTTACAGCCTATCCTTTCAGGACTTGTCATGGTTGTAGTGGCATGAAGTGAAAATATTTCCACACTCCTTTCCCCTTCCCTGAATGGTATAATAGTTCATTGCATTAGGTTTGTAACCTTCTAGCATTTTCAGGTTTACCCAACAGTTCTTCAGTACTCAATTATACTCCTGGGTGAAGAGAGGCACTGACAGAGTTATATGTTCTGACCAAGAACAAAACACAGCAATCCAGCCAAGGCTGACCGCTAGTTAGACCTTTTGATGTGCAATCCTAGGTCATCCTATGCAGTCACCACTAAACCAATGTGACTCTCATTGATCAAAACAATAAAAAAACTTGCATCATCTCCTCATACTTCTAACATCAAACCTTCAAGTGCAATTGTGATGAGAGACCACTCACTTCAGTCAAACTAACAGGAAGGGAGGGGACAACATGACTACACTTACACTTATAAAACACTTATAAAATTACATAGCATGGGAGGGCAGCATAACCCCATGCCAAGGTACAATAGAGCAGCTAATCCTAAGGCTATCTCTCACGTCAACACCAGAGGAAACAGTTGAAATTTCTTTCACAAATGAGCAAAACAGTTAGCTTACGATTGTGGTTCCTCCGTATCCTTAGACAGACTCTCCTCTTTGTGCTCGTTGTCCCTGTTCAAGAATATCGAAATAACAACAACGTATAAACATTTCACAAGAACAACATGTAATTACATGTGCAAGCTATAGCCCTAATGACTCTCATGGTTCAATATGACACATTAAAACAGAGAAAAATTTTACTTATTTGTCAAGAAATATCGCCAGACATATTTAAAAGCTAAACATCAACACATCACAAGAAAAAAAACTTCCCTTTCAAACGATCTTGGACACAAAATTGCAAGCAAACTCACCGACTCAAATCAAACAAGGACTTGACACAACTAAGAACAACATTGTATGTTTCCTAAAATGAATTGAAAAAAACAACACGTATCAAGCGACAAAACAATCATAGAAGAATTTTAAAATTTCAGAACCTGTTGTAACTATTTCCGTCTCATCCATAAATCAACAACACAGCTGATCTATAAACAATATCTAAAAATTTACTTCTACATAGCAAGAACTACCAAAATAGTTTGTGGGGACTTATGGTCTAAAACGAAGCATGCAAAAGAATAAAAAGACGAAAAACGAAAAGCACACCAGGTATTCTTTCTGTTCCACTTTTCCATCTTCTGAAAGCTTTCTCATATCGTCGTCAACAGGTCGTTTTTGTTCACTCGATACCGGTGTACTGTCTTCCGCCATATTGATTTTCCCAATGGGAGCCACGCAGACACTCGCAACGTCACTAGTCAAACCCAGGCTTTTGGGAGCTTGTGGGCGCCAAGTATGAACATTAATTACATGGAAAACTGAAAGCTCAAACTAAACTTAAATTTCCCAAGAGAAAAACTCTTCAATTTTCTTGCTAAAATATTGCAATGAAGGACATCCATCCATCCACCATTCTACTCTTGCTTTTTTTGGGGGGGTGGGATGGGCAAGGGGGCTTCTATGGGGTCCTATGGGTCCTAATATTTTTGCACGAAGGAGGGGGGGAGGGTGGCTAAGAGATTCACTGCGGCAGTTTTGTTTCAATGCGGTGCAATTTCGGTTTGAGTCGGTTGTCCCAAACCTTTTTTCGAAGTTTGAAGGTAATAACCCAACAATCTGCTGTATGCTGTGTTTTTCTGTTCGTCTTCAAAGCCTTTTAGGAGTATTTTACATGTCACGCCTCTGTGTCGACTTTACTACAATTGGGCGCAGAGGGGTATTTTTACAATTTAAAAAGCTTGACTCAGGTCAGGAGGGGAATAAAAGGCTACCAGGATTTTCTAAAACTACTTGAATCTTTGTTATCAAATTAATTATAGAAGTATTGTATGAGAATTGTTATGCGATTTCGGTGAAATGTTACGGGAAGAACCGCGCGCAGTGAAGTAGTTTGTGCCTTTCCAGTTATTGAAATAAAAAAATAGAGAAAGAGCACGAGAAAATTGTTTAACATTTATCATATAGAAAGACAAAAGACAAAAAGTATTATCATAGTAATACTTTTTTTTTTTTTTTCTTTTTTTTTTTTTTTTTTTTTTTTTTTTTACAATTTTCTATATCTGACTTATGTATGTTGAGCGACAGTTGCATAGCAACTTTTTCTAAGGTAGTTTCAAAACGTTTCCCTTAAGAAATGATAAAGCTTGAGCAGTAGGAGTTAGTGTTAAAAAGTTTCTATCGACGTCTCCCTTCACACTAAGGGAGTGAGTGTACTTCGAATAACCAAAAAAATACATCCTGAAACAAACTTGGTGGCATGAGAGAGGAATTGCGTTCTCTTGCGTAAGGTTTTGCGCTGAGCTTATTTCTTGTAATTATAGATTTAAGATAATTATTTGATGATGATCTGGGACTCAACTCTATAGAATGGGGACATGATCGAGACAGCTAACAATTCATTCATGTCTGATTCTGTATCTATTTATTTTAAAAGCAGGTTTCCCTTCAGATTTTAATTGTATGGTTAGCTTAGCTACTTTCAACCAATCAAAGCTTTATACTAATCGTGAGATAGTCGTTCACGTTTTCTCGCTCTTCAGGCGGTTTGCGTGTTCATGGGATCATTAGTTCGCACGCCACGTGTGACGTTCCCCCACAACCATTAAAAATTTATGTTTAGAAGGAATTTTTGAAGTCTCAGAGGCAGTGGAAGCTGGAGAACTTTGTTGGGTGGGACGCATGCATTAACCACTAGTCGACAAAGCAACTTCAAATCAAAAACTATCGGCAGTTGCCAAATTCGTATGTAACCATCGCTGTAACTTGCAGCGAGTTGCTCTCCACTCTGTGTGAATGCCACGTGAAAAACATCTGCAGCACTGTGGAATTCTAGTGGCTGTTGTGTGACATCAAGAACAAAGCTCACGGTTCCATCATCCACATTTATACAAGAAATGGTCCCATCTTTTCCTCCCACAGCTAAAATCGTTCCATTGGGAGAATACCTAACCACGTTTAATAGCTTTTTGAAGGTTAGCGTGTGTCTGTTTTGAATCTCTGAATCTTTTTTATCACAACATGACATTTGCCATATCTTTACTATCCCAGCGTACAGGACGCAAGTGACGAACTCTTGGAAAGGGAAACGTGGATCAAACACACAAACGGAATACGTGACGAAGTCTTCCGGATTTCCATTGGCAAGTTCTGAAACTTTGTAGGGAGACAGAATAGACACACAATCTAAACTGTTCACCCGTGTTAACCTGGTAGAGTTCAATAAATATACTTGTCCGTACGAGGAAGTAACTGCAAGAAGGCGGTCGTTTGGAGAGAACGCGCAATTAACGACAGCACCACGAAAACCAAAGCAAACTTTGCTGACTCTTTCACTACAAATGGTCTTTCCGTTACGCGCAGCAGTGATTGCCAATTGGAGAGCTCCGGCAACAACGCGAATTGAAGCAATCGTGTTCCCATCGTGTGAGTACGGACATTCCTGAGGATAAATCCGTCGATATTCCGACAAACTTCCTGGGATGTTACAAGGAGTACATTTCTGCGGTGTAGAGTCGTACCTCGACAAGAAAAGATCTTCCTCTTCGTGTACGCCCTGTTTCATGGCTAAGCAGCACAATTGTTGCCCATTCGGCGAGATCGACCAAGGACCAGAAGTTAATGCGCAATGATACTTGGTAATAGCCGTCGAGGGTGAGGATGCCAAGTCCCATGTGCACGTGCGCGAAGTATAGGTCGGATGTTTAGCCAAGTGAGATGTTGGCTCCACCACAACTCCTAGGAAAGAGACATATAAGATTAAATAATAAGCTGAATTATTCATGCATTTTGATATACATATGTATTCTTACTAATGATCTATTGGATTACAATTAGCAACATTTTGGACCTAGTTTGAGTTGTGAATATTCACGTACTTAAAAGTCCCAGCTTCCATTGAAGTGAAACACTGTGGTAGAGAAATGAATATTAAAGTAGATTTAAATACTGTTGAAAAAATTTCAAAAGTTCTGAGACTAGTCAGTGTCTCTATTAGGTATTACAGTTAACAAGTAATTTCAATTCAGTGATGATATTACGCTAATAGCTAAGAAAACAAAATATCTCGTGTATACAACATTTATCTGCTATCATTTGAATGTATATTAGCCAGCAGCAAGGATAAAAGACTGATAAAGAAACGGTATACCGTAATGAAATATATCTAATTCTCCATCGTGTCTAAAAAAAAACACTGTTAAGAGCAGCCAAAATATAGTGCAGCCAAGAACTACGAAATATTTGCTGCGCCAACCACATCGAATATAAACAGTTTTTTTTTTCGCTTCAACTGGAAAAACAGTAATTACTTGAGGGAGTGGGGGGTTGAAGGATTTTAATTGTGTCGCAACAAAATTTATCTAACCCTCCCGAGGCTACGTAATATTCTTAAATTTTCTATTGTCCTCCATTGATATTCTGTTAGTGACATGTAATCCCCGTTCCGTCCCCCCTGAAAACCATTTAATCCCCATCCCAAAAGATAAAATCCTTCAAACCCCACCCTACCCCCCAGGCGATAAGTAATGACCGATTGACTGATTTCTAATGTTTTTACTTTTCGCTTTTTTGTCCATTAGATCACAATAGTCTACAATGGCGAAACGACGCCCATCCCGAATAGGTAAGGCCCCGCCATAAACAAGAGAGCCTTTTGTACGGTTACTTTGTTACATGGTTATTTTCTCTACTAATTTGACAGGGCGGGTTGGCCGCGGAGCTAAATGATCCTTACATTGTGCCACCTATCTTGCGAAAGGATGGAAAATTAGATTTCAGCTGACACCGATGCATGAACGAGTTTTAATGACCGTGCGGCTTGTTATTGTCATATGCAAAACTGTTAAGAACATGATAGAATAGCTGATTTACAATTAAGATTGTGCCTTCGATCCATCCTCGCAGAGCAAACGCTCTTTGAATCAGTCGGCTCGTCTATTTTGATTATCACACATTGACAAAAATGAAAATTAGGTACACCGTTTGCATTTATGATAAACCTTCTGCTTTCGTTTTGATCCACGCAGTCTTAAATATATTCTAGACATTCCCTCCTACGTTTCGCCATTTTCCTCATCGATTCGTCTACAAAGCTTATCGCACACAAAATTTTAAAGGAACGCTCAATGACCGTTAGTTCCTTTTTTAATCTCATGGAAAAAAGTTTTTTGGTCTCTTGATCGAAACGCCGGGCGAAAATCCGTCATTTCTTATAAAAAGGGAATATTGTTTTCATTTATGTGTGTACAGGTGCAAGTAAAACAGTACGGCTGCAGCAAATCATTATAAAATTATATAAAAAAAAATCTTGAATACGATCTTGACATGCATATCAAAATATTGTCAAAGAAACCAGCGAAACAGTTATTTTAAAATCGGTTTATCACAATCTTTTCAAATTAAAAATTAAACAGGCTTCCAATTCTCGTCACAACATAATATACATGGTCAAATCCAAAATGCAATATTGAATTTTGTCATTGGTCACTGATGGAAACGCTCCTTTTGGATTTGAAGTGCATATGTGCTCGAAACATTCTAATCTAAACCATGTAATCTGTGATTAAATATTGTGTATCGTTTCTCACCGTAAATAAGTTCGGAGTCATCCTGGGCGGCAAATGAACACTGGTATTGATAATGATATCGAACTGAGGAGATCAGGTCGTTGATGTGTCGTGGAGGGATGCTACTTGCTAGTCCTTCTCCCGTTAATTGCATAATTACACCGCCGCGAGTACTGCGTTTTTTCTTCGGAAATGGTTTGTAGAGCTTTGAGGACAACGAGGCAGATTCCTGAAGCGACTGAGGAAAATAATGAGTCGTACAGGTTACCCCCATGGCGTGGTTATAATTTAGAAGAAGTCTCTAGAAGAAAACAGTGATGCGAAATTCCGGCCAACAGCTGCAAAAAAAATTGAGACGTAGAGATCATAAGTAGTTGGATGCCGCGACCGTCCTATGTGACGTCACAGGCCGGGCTGTTAAGGGTCTAATAAGCGGATTATTGTCATATTTTTGTGTCCATCAGACCGAGATCCTCTCTACCTTCGAGTTAAGGCTGATTTCAAACTCATACTGGGTTAACTTAAAATACTCAAGTGAAGGACTAAATCAAAATTTCAAACCAAGAAGAAACACATTCGCAAGAAGGAAGCGAATTCTAACGTTAATAAAACTATGGAGAAATTCGCGACTATTCCGAGTAAATCTTTTCTTTTAAGTTTTTAAAACAAAACTTTTATGCAGTCAGGAATAAAGACTTATTGTGTTTTTTAGCAACTGAAGCGCACTAGCACTGTTGTTCGCATATTATCATTTACGAGATAGTCGGATCGACTTTTTTCGCCCTCACATGGTTTTATATAACCATGAGTAAACACAAGTGGAGGCGTGGGTAACTTGCGAGCTGGCTCTTGTATTAAGCATTGCATCGCAAAACGTTCCTTCGCTCGCGAGTAAGATTTTGTCTTGAGCAAAGCTGGCCGGCGGGATCTGGCACTAAGCAGTTCAAGCCCTATTCCAGACCTCTCACCGGATCGCGTTGCTCAACACCTTGGATCAAGCCTATGCGCTGGTGAACGAACAGCCTTACTGAATCATCAATAATGAAGGCCTTGGTTTAAAAATAAGAGACATTTGTATAAATCTTCGATTGTGTTTCGTGTCGGCACGACTTTCGAAGATTGTCCCAACCACTCCAGGTCTTAGGTGAAGCTGAGTAAATGGCACTCGCAGTTGAGTTGGACTTCGAGTCACTTTCCAGAGGATCTTCTGTTGCTGGCTTTTAAAAAATTTTTCTCGAAATTGTGTGCCCATGTAACACATCAAACTATTTTTACATACCCCATCCAAACACACCGACTGACAACAAATGAGAGCGCGCGCGTATGACAGTCTTGGTTATTTCATAGTCATTGAGTCACATTTATGTTATTCATTAGGAAAGGGCAAAATCGAGATTGGGTTGTGCTGCCAAAGATTACCGATTATTCCTGACACTTTTCGGTCATTTGATATAAGTTCAGAAGACCTTAGATGCACCTGCTAAACACTACGTAATTTTTACATTTTGGGGGGGGGGGGGGGCAGGGAACGCCTTCTTATTCCTAGAAAATAAATATGTCATGTTTGTCGAACTTAAGCACGTGCTACGTCCGGGACCTCAAAGTGGGAGTGAGGCATGCTCGAGTCGCAGTCGAGTTGGACTTCGAGTCACTTTCCAAAATAGTAATCAAAGTAGTTCATGATGATTCATCGCTGGAGTATCAGCTTCCTTCGCAAGAAACGATTTTTCATTCAGGAATAAGCAATTGTAGGATAGCCATACCCATCTCTTACGCTAAGAGAAATCTATCCATGTAGAGGCAGGTGCATGAGAGGGGTAAATTTTCTCGTGAATTAAAAAAGCGCAAGGTGCCATGATGGTAAAAAGTGTTGACAGACCTATCACCCTCCCACCCTCGTGATATCGTTGTGCTGTGGTGCTAATTGACTCCCTCGCGGCAGTTCTTTGCGGCATGGGATGTCACGGGATGTGGTGCCAATTGACTGCGGTATGGGATGTCACGGGATGTGACTGCGGTATGGGATGTCACGCCACGTTCTCCCCAAGATATATCCCAGAGAGCGACTGCGAAGGAGAGTATGGCACTATAAGCTGAGCTCTAACGAGTAATACTTCAATGATGTTCCTTACCTATAAGGGGAGAAATTTAACATATCTTACGACGAGGAAGCTGTTTTTGTCCTGTCAAAAGCAACAGGTCAGTGGTGAGATGTCCCTTAGCTGCCTCCCGGCTTCTTTGGCATGGAAATCCTCCCCGGGATGCGAACATTCCAGAAGTAGGTACATGGCTGCCTTTAGTTTTGCGGGGGCCCCTGTTCCCTACCCTCTCCACTTTGTTTTTTTTCTTTTTTTCGTTTATGGCATTTTTATAGCATTTTTATGGCAATTCAACACGAAGTTTCACCTGAACTTTAACTCTGTTCCAAATCGAACTTAAACTCGATGCCCATCTCGAACTTTAACTCGAAGTATAAATCAAAAAGTATAAACTCCTACTCTTTCTCAAACTCTTGACGCGAACTTTAACTTGGAGTCCAACTCCATGTCCAACCCGAAGTCCAACTCGTTCCCGGGATTCTTTTTGTGCAACCGTTTTTTGCCAAAAAAAACTTAATATTTGAGTTTGAGACGAGGATCCGTAAATTGCTGCACAGACCGACGAGGAGAGGTAAGTACGATATCTTTTATCTCTCTGCAGTGCGTCTGATATGTTGAGGAGATATTTTCAATCACACGGAACGGTTTCAATAAGACTGGCGCACGTCGATAGCAGAACGTGTCGATTCGAAATCGCTGTTTAATCTTCAACACCAGTTAACTCAAAGAAAACTTAAAGAAAATTTGGTCTTCATTCACTAGCAAAGTTAACAACCCTCGGCGATAGATAGAAAGGAAAGGATTTCATCTTCAAAACACCATTAAATTGTAGTGTGTGGTACACCATTAACTTTAACCCCAAACTGATTAATCACAGCCTGCGTATTAATTTAGTGATGTGGTTCGACATAGTACTATACAACACCATTGACTCAGAGCCTTAGGCACTTAGCAAAGATCGTCTTAAAAACAGGTATGAGAAAGCTTTACTCATCAATCAACATGGCCGACACAGGCTTGGACATCGTCTCGAGAGGCCGCGATTTTTTAACAAAATTTAAGAATAACGCTGGGTTTAAACAAAAAGCTTTATTTCCTGGCAAACTTAAGCGTTTAGTGACTCCTCGTACTCAGTTTAAACTCCCCTCTTTTCTTCCCTCGGTAAAGTGCAGGAGAGAGAAGACCTTGGGAACGAGGTCGAGTAGAAGGTCATTACAATCTCGCACCCAGAGCCCTCGTAACCTCGACCAGTGGATGAGCATACCGGAGGCTCTGGGAAAGAGACGGAGATCATTAATGAGGAATGCGCTATGCTTCTCCTTACTGCGCATAACATAACGAAGATAGCCACCTGAAATTGGCAGCTCCTTCAATACTCTTTTTGGCCAAGATCACCTTTGGTAAATCGTCACTTTCTCGTCAACGATTCTGGTGACCTATCACTTTCTTTCTCTTTATTTATTTGGTTGTGCAAAAATATTTTGATGGAAGATCCTCATCGGCTTTTACATACGAATAGAAAGCAAATTTTTCAACTTCAACGAAATAAAACGGAATGGGCGTGTCCCTAGCTTTTATTACTGAGTTGACTTTTTCCTGAGAGCCTGGTTCTTCAATTTCCTTCCGAAAAGCAGAAACCGCGTTTGCCATCACCAAAAAAAAAAATGTTGCTTCGGGACGATCAAAAGACACAGCGCCTTTGTTCTAATTCCGGTAAAACCAAGATGGGAATAAGATCACCAAATGTTTACCTGAAAGATTTGCGATGGAAGGCTTATCGGAATATCTGGTGTTCAGATCCGTGAAAAAAAACAAAACAAAACAAAACAATAAAATAGACAAAATAAAAAACCGGTCGTGAATTCGTTTCCAAGAAGCTGTTTACAGGTGTTTTTATCACGTGCCAGCCATGTAAGTCATGTTTGGCCGACTGAACCCTGCCATTTAACAGGATCAGTTCAAGGCTGTTGCGCGGACTGCTCTAAGAAAGAGCGACGAATATCGCACATGACAGTGCAAAAAATTGTTCATTATATATATTGATCTGAATAACGCATGCTGCACTGCGACCTCATCTGTGATCTATTACAGAACAGACACACGGCAACATGAAATTAACTTGTCTTATATGATAAAGAAGCAAAAGATGTTACCGTTGACGTCATCTGTACGTTTGTCCTCCAATAGATCATCGGTAAGAATCAACCAAAACGTATGAATAATTCACCTCAATATATAATTTACAATTGGTGGACGAGGAAAAGCGTAATATCGTGACGGAAATCAGTTATTAACTTATTAACGATTCGAATATGCTTGTTACTGACAAGTCATGATATTCCTCGAATACCTTTTCAATAACTTTTTTCATCCTTAAATTTCTATTATCATTCGATACAATTCTTCTTACTTTTCATTGGCCGAGAGGCAACTGCATGTCATGCAAATATTAAACTGTTTACATATAATAGTCTGTTCATACGTCATATCGTCTAATTTTCAGTTTGCCGCCAATGAAATCTTCTTCGTACATAATTGTCTTCTCACTGATCCATAGAAAATGGAAAATTATATCCCTAAGCTTTCAGCGAGCGGATCTCGAAAACAAACATGGAAAGCAAACCTGGCAGTAACCGGATGATAAGATTATAGCTGAACTTAACTATCACTAAATTGTGATTTATCAGCGTCTCGCAGATCAATTGTTTGCCTCAGCCTTCTGTGATTAATTACTCTGCTTGTCATGGACAAATTACGATATTTGTTGGACCGCGTCCAAAACTGTAGAATACTTCAGGAATTGAAAACGAATGAGACATCGAAACTTACGCACGCGTATTCACTGATCAGTTTACTTTTGGTTTCATTTACATCAGCAAGAGGCCATATTTATGCAGTTCAGCCGCTCAGGATGAATAGAAAGCGTTGTAACGAACAGTCGAGAAAAAGGTGGCAGACAGTCTGGCACTCTTCCAGGTGCCTTCAGACCGTAAAACGACCTGACTGTTTTCAACGTACCCCCTTCCGTATGCACCGCTCGATATGTACTTACCCTTTGCTAATCACTACAGTCGCGCTTAACACAGCCTTTGATGTATAACTATTCTGTTCATTGTTTCTACAACTGAAGAGGAAAGCTTGTAATAGCCACGAACTGCTTATTTTTGTCTGCGTAGGTAAACTTCTCTTTATTAGTTTAATTGCTTCCAAGCTAAAGGAAACTCGCCGACTTTGGCTCGTCATAAACTTGCCCCCTATTGAGTAAACCCCTTTCAAGCACTCGCCCAATATATACATCCTATCGTAGGTTCCACTTTAAACTTCAACTTGAAACTTCTCAAACAGGAGATAGCTTGTTTCGTTTTTGAGTCGCAGATAAATTTTAAAAATTTGAGATCATTTTGAACCGGATCAGAGAAAATTCTCAGGGTTTTGTAAAATGATTCTACAGTAACACATCCATTCAGCCATTTGGAGCTTAATTGCTGCTATTGTGGTTGATCGTTACATGACCAATTACAAAACGCAAAGAGTTATTATATTTCCATTTACAATATTTTTGTAAAGCCCGTCGCCTGTTGAGTTGCACGCAAACTGAACATCGTCTTCTGCACAAGAAGCATATGGACACTTATACCGGTGTCTTAACGCAGCAATATTCACTGGTTATTTCCGATCTACTTCTATATTTCGGAAAATTCCACGAGGCGAGAAATCGAAGGAGACATCTTGACGATGCTGTACATAGCCTATTTTTTCTAACCAATACATAGTAATTGGTTACTGTCCTCAAGACTGTCATTAACCCTTGCTAACCGCCATCCTCAGTGTGAAGTGTCTATTTTCCTCTTTTGCCATCATGCAAACAACAACAACACAACATTTTTGCCAGAAACAATCAAGAACTTTATCAGTTTAAACTTTAAGCATGCAGGATCAGCAATCCTATATAATTAAAGATCGCAGCAATCTTAACAATCTTACTTCAGTTAGCTTTAATAGGCGCCAGACATAAGTTTTCCGGTTTTGTTGGTGTTTTTCCAATTTTATCCAGATAAAAACAATGAAAAGAAGTGGTCAAAGTGAACCTCAAAACTGCAGTTTCACTAAAAACCAGTTGTGCTTTATCCTGGAAGAACTGAACATTATTAATGAAGAGCTCTATGATATAGGTTCTGACTTCTTATATCACTGTAAACACTTAGTTGATTCAGGTAGTTTTTCGGCGAATCCAATTTTTAAAATCAAAACTTCGATAACTTATAAGTATTTCCTGTTTTTCGGAAACTAGACATCAAAAATTGAAAACATAAAGCAAACACCCAAAATCGAAACAAAAAAAATTTAAACATAAAAAAGTTTAATCAGAAACATGACAATCAAACTCAGTGATCTGTGGACGTTTTCGGTTTCAACCGATTTACATTGTTGACATTGTAAATTTTCAAATTCTGCCATATTGATGTGGAAAAATAATTTAGAATCGAGGAATTTTTTGCTTCGTGATTCCGGATATTTTAATTATAGATTGGCCACAAGCTCCAAGATTATATGCTTGACGCAAGCAAATTCTTATGTAACCGCAGCAACCCTGATTCGTTCCCAGATCCCGATAAGCTTTGGGAGTCTGGACACGAGGCTAATGTTAAACTTCTTCTAATAATTATAATGCTTTTTGTCCTTCAAAAAATTAAGATAATTATAGAAAATCATTATTGTTAGGATCTATTGTGGTTTGACTATTCTTTGGACCAACTTTTTCAATACTTGGCATTATTTCACGCAACCGCAAGGAAATTTTTTTTGCGTCATTGACCCTCCCCCACCGCCGCCCTAGACATACCCTCCCCATGCCCTCTCCACTCCTTACACACAATCGCTCTTCAGCCGTGAAAACGCAACGCAATCAAGTAAGTAGTTCGCCTGCTGCGATTTTTTTCGACCAAGTTCTCAAATAACATTCTTTTGTTTATTTAATTCTACTCTAGAGTTTTCACGGACTACTTTAAAACGAGATGAATGTCAAGATGGGTCCGAATTTTCACCTCGCGCTCTTCTTCGCAGTTTACGTGGCCCGTTGTTCCCTTTTCATCGACGCATTGCGCCAAGGTAAAGTTGTTCAAATAGCCTCTTCACACCTCATACCAGCTAATCATAAGCACGAGGCAAACGTAAAAAGAATCCTTTCAACGTTTTCATGAACTAATTCAGGATTTAAGCTTACAGATAAACATCGCAACTCATCGAGCGACGAAGTAAAGTAATATAATAGCCTAATATATTCGAGAACGTGTTTCTACGTATCTTTTCAGTTCTATTTCCTGGAAAGAATTTATTTCCCCCTTTCACTAATCACGGACTGCCAATAGATATGGTAACCTGACGCCAAATTTAATTGTTTTCGCTGTGAAAATTTCAAATTTCCCCAAAGTACTTATAAGAACGTTTTTCGTAGTACAAAAGACAATAGTCGTAAGCGATATTTTATCAAGAGCCATTTCGAAGCACAATAGTCCTTACGTAGGTTCAATGCATTGTCTTTGAAATTGGTTTCATGAAAATGTACCTTGTAGACTTTCCTGGTTTTTGTGTAGTAAGAGCTAGTGGGGATCAGTTCAATCGATGGCGGAGTCGTTTTTTGCATTTGTGCGTTGTAAACAAAAAGATTAAGCCTACTTAATGAAAGATACGGGAACTATTCATATAACGTGTGCACTATCATTGTCTTAGGTTGATTAAGTGAGAGCCAGTTCAAGTTATTAAAACCTACGAAAGCGCTTATTCTGCACTTTTTCGGTGTAAACAAAACGTATAAAATTCCGTTCGTTCAGGGTGAACTGTTAGTGAGACGAATTTTGGCTCGCTCTCAAAGACGCGGTTTTCTTCATTTGCATGAACCTCATAAACAAACATTGCATAATGAGATTCGGGTTAGAGATAAATCCTGGAAGAATGTATACTTTTCCGCTATCATTCGGTGTATGTTTTACACCGTGGATCCGAAAAAGAAAGAAAAAGAAAGGAAAAAAGCTCCTTTGAGTCGTGGAAAACATTCACGGGACAAAATATTTGCTTTGTGGTATTTTGCCAACTGACCGGCCCCTCTAACGCCCACCCCTTTTAAGGAAATATTTCACTTTTTATTTCCTGGTGAGACAAAAATACTTTACAGATACTTTCACTACTTAGTCGTTAACTTCAACAATTATAATATATTCAAGCCACAATGGTATTCCTTAGCTAAATGGGAAGTTTCTTGTACATCATCATTTTATTATTTTGGTTTTTTTATTTGCTACAGGAAGTCAACAATGTATATCAGTATTTTAAGCTTGTTTCTAAAACACAATGATTGTTGTTATACTTGGGGCTTATTACAATATTTTGATCATCATGGGCAAATACACTCAAACATTGCCAGAAAATTCATAACATCTGGCTGGATAAGCATCTCACAAACGAACGTAGCACTCCCAGAAAATTGACAACACCTGTCTAAATTTTTGATGGGCTGTCATATGGTAAATTAGCATATTCGAAAGGGAAGTAGTAGTAATGACCTTAGACTAAATTTTCAAAATAACCCTTCATGGTCAGATGGAACTGAACCAATTATTTTAAGGTCACCATAAACTTGTATGGACTAGTAAACCTTTTGCAGAAACAATTCCACTCACACACCTGACAGGGAAACTTAAAATTCCAAGATATATGTGTGAGGCAGTAAATGAAAGTTTCTTTTAGCTCCCTTGCTAATGCCACCAAAGTAAATTCAACTAGCAGCATTTTTGTTACTGAGATGAGAAGTATATAAAGCCCGAATTATTCCAAAACAAAGAAAAGCAAAGAAAAAAAGTCAGCCAAGGAAGTCACTCAGCTTTAGACAGACTGGAATTTAGTTAACACTTGTCTTGACTATCTCAATCCTTACATCTCCTATAAAATGAAAAATTGACTTTTTCTCATTAATCCTTTTAGGTTGCTCAGATGCTCTTGGTATGGAAAGCAACAAAATAAAAGATTTCCAGATAAGCAGTCACACATTTTCTCCTGGCTGGCTTCCTGAGCATGGTAGATTGAACAATAATAATGGAGCTTGGTGCAGTGCAAACAATGATAAAACATCTGAGTACTTTGAGATAGACCTGCTGAGGGTCAGACATGTTTCAGCCATTGGTACACAAGGAGTACAAACTTGGAATTACTTGAGCTACTACGTTAAGACATATGTGATTAAGTACAGCTATGATGGAAGGGCGTGGTTAACTTACAAAGACACTGATGATGGTCCTGACAAGGTGTGTAATCCTCAATGTGTCTTAGGGGAAGTTTCTTTTACATTCACAATTGTGTGTGTACAATGCTGGGAAAATGCAATTCTCTTTTGGTATTTTTTCAGTCATTCATTGGAAACTCAAATGCCAACAGTGTGAAACTGAACAACTTGAGAGATACATTTGTGACGAGATACCTCAGGATATACCCGAAGGATTATAAATATGATATGTGTCTTCGAGTTGAAGTATATGGCTGCAGTGATCAAGCTGGTAGGTTCACTTGATAGATACACCTTGAAATCTTAAGTCTCATTTGTTATTATTGTCAGCAGTAAAAATTTGGATTATATGTCGCTAATGAGACAGCATGCTAACTTTAAAACAGACAGAATCAGATTAGTTGAGTAAGGGCTATTTTTGTTATTTGTAAATACTGTCCTTGAACTTGGGAAAAGTTTTCCAATATCGACAAGTTCATGTATAGTGATAACATTAACAATACAAGCACAGTCATTAAGGCTGTCGCCATTCTCTTGATAAGCTAGTGCTATCCAGAAAATGTAAATTTTCAAGTAAAAGCCTCTGAAAATTTAACTATTTGTAAGTTTCATCTTTCATTTCAATTGGCATCAATACAACTTTGAGTAAATGTAGTATCTTTTTGAGTAATAATATTTCATATAAGAACTTCAAACATTATGAATATTGTTATAGTGTATATGAATCTCAAATATGTTGTCAGTGCCAATTAAGCCTTTGCCTCCTAACATAAGTATGCATATTTTCCGTAACGAACTTCAATAAAGTATACATTTCCTAAGGTGCTGACAAGGAGAATTCACTCAACAATCCAGAACTTCTTTAGTTGGTGTTCATTTCCTTTATTTTCATGACCTTAATGTTTGATTCAGGGCTGATATTGTAAAGGGGAATTAAGCACATCACTTTTAGGAGTCAAAGGGGTTAATTTATCGTGTGTTATAATTGCACAAACAAAATCAGTAACATGTTGATTAGAAGTTTTTACCACAATTTTTCAAAATGAAATTTCAGGTTACTTTCTGCATGGTTTTCAACTTCAAATGGGAATTACAATTATTGTAGTAATTATATTTGATAGCCTATACAATATAAAAAATGTACTCTTTATAAAATTATTTTTTTCAGATGATTGTTCAAACTTTTCAACAAATCCTTCCGGCTCCATTGCAAGTCCAGGCTTTCCAATCAGTTACCCCTCCAACAAAAACTGTGTATGGATTATTTCAGCTCCAACAGGAAAAAACATAGTACTAATGTTTACACAGTTTGACATGAGACGAAGTTCAAATCCACCAGGCTGTAAAGAAGATTTTGTAGAAGTTCAGGATGGTCTCACTGATTTATCTCCTCGCATTGGTGGAAAATTTTGTAATGGAAATACGTCCATGCTAACAATTACTACAACAAGTACAGTCAGAGTGAATTTTCATTCTGGCAACACCAATGCTGCCCAGAAAGGATTTCAGATTAATTACCTTGCCATAACACCAGGTATTATTGGATGCAAAAGATAAACTTGATATATGTTAATAATGGTGCCTATGAGTTGTATTGGCCATCATTTTATTTACTATTTCATTCCTGGCCATTTTGAATTTATCTATTCCTCATTCCTGGCCATCATTTTATTTACTATCTCAGTCTCGTCATTTAGAAAAAGTAAAAGCAAGACCAAAAAAGACAAAAATATAGGGGCATAAACCTAATAAGGGACTGTTTACATGGAGGTGGGGGACCCCAGGTAGGTTAGGTAACCTGCCTAACTGTGGTCGAAAAATAAAACATGTTTACATGCAATCTTACAACCCCGGGGTGCTAGAGTGGGGTTTCTTGAGGTTGTTGTTGCACTTGCAATTAAGGAGTTTAAGCAGAGGCGTCCCAAGCTCACATCTTGAATAATGTATTTATTCACGAAAGTGTCACTCATCGTGGTGTTTGGTTTCGCGAGGAACCGTTGACTGACAATACGTTATACAGAATAGATTGGGAAACCAAATATGGTCGATTTACAATGCTAAATATTCTGAAATGTGAACATTTTACACTCCTTGTGTGTCCATTGTGGTTTCTGGCAATTTCTGCCATGAGATGGCTAGGAAATGTACAAAGTTTTAAAACATACGTGTTTTGCTTTTGAGCTTTTTGTCATGAACGCAACCCCGGCTAGGTGGGTTACCCCACCTTGACATGTTTACATGGCAAATTGTCACCCTGGCTGACAGGGTTACCCTACCTGGCAGACTGGGCAACCCACCTAGGTGGGTCACCCCAGCTATCATGTAAACGTGATCAAAATAAAATAAGAAATTATATGGACAGGTGGGTTACCAGTGGCAAATTTGTGCTCGTATATCATTAAATAGCATATATTTGTAAATTTTGAGACTACAAACCTTGCACTCAACCTTCGAGTAAGTGCAACAATTATTAGGGACCTGGGGTCCCCCCACCTCCATGTAAACAGGTCCGAACATAATGATTCAGTTTATTTCTTAAACAATATAATAGCAGAGACAGAAAACTTTTGGGGTAAATCCCAAGTCAGTAGAAGAAAAGCAAAACATTTGTATGTAATATGAATGTAATAGATGTTGGCCAAAGTAGCAACAAAATTGGATGAAAGAAAAAGGCCAAAAAAAATTACCATTTATTTGATATTCATCATATTACTTTCTTTTGCAACAGGTTCAGGCAACATACATGCTGAAAAGGCTTGCGATGGAGATGTTTTGGCACTGAACTGTTCAGGATATCAATACACAATAAAAATCCTCCATGCCACATATGGTTCTTTTCCACACAGTTGTGGGCAGCAGTTGTCATCTCAATCTTGCCCAACTTTGGATGTTAAGAGTAAAGTTGTGACAATGTGCCAGGATTCCAAGGAATGTGACATCACTGTTAAAAAAGCTCTTTTTGATTACAGTTGTTCCAATGGCCCTGAAAACCATCAACTGCAAATTTTCTATCAGTGTACAAGTACAAACATTAGAAGTAAGTACAGTGATGAAGGAACATCAGCTATGGGTGAATTAGAAAAGAAAAGAAACTAAACATTTATTGCTTAGCTGTGGTTTGATTTTACTTTTAATTAAATTGAATCACTTGAGCACAGAGTTCATTACAACATGAACAACTAAACAAACCATTTATTATGAATATATTAAAAAGATGTCATTTCTGCAACTGCATCAACAGCTTACTTGTCTAAATTTAAATTACAAGGGCCAAAATGATACATTTGGAACAGGTATTACAGCTTAAATGCATGAACTCTGTGATGCTTGATATCATTTGTTAGCTGTGAAGTTCAAATTGCTTGGAATGATAAGATATATTTGCCCTGTACCAAAACATCAATTTTTATTTTTTTTTATTTTCAGCCCCAGCCCCTTCCACAATAACCTCCAAGCCAACACAAGTGACGTCTTCAGCACCATCCATCCCGCCAACAAAAATGATGTCTTCAGGACCATCCGCCAAACCAACACAAATGACTTTTTCAGCACCATCCAGTGCTCAACCCACCAAAGTTCTATCCTCAAATTCATTCACTAAACCAACCACTAAATCATCTTCAGAAAAACCAGTGCTGTATCCTGGTGAATCGGACAAAATTACACTACCAACAGAAAATGTAGAATTAGAAGATCCAGGAGTAACTGGAAAAAGAGCTGAGAGAGTAGGAGGATTGCAAATGAAAGTAATGGCTGTAGTTATTGCAGTTGCTATAATAGTCGTTGCAGGGATGGTTGCTGTGTTTATCATTCTAAAGAAACGGTAGGAATCAAGATAATTGTACAATCAGTTGAAAACTTTTTGTTACACAATATATGGGCTCATCTTAGATAACTGGCACTATGATTCTGCTATCTCAAACATAATTTTGTTTGCTTTTTGACAAGTTTTTTAGCTCAAGTTCTGATGATTCAAATTCCTTGAAGAAAAGAAAGGACTTATTAAAAAAATTCAACCCAAAAAATGAAGGTTTTGAGAGCTAATGTTTCTGAGATGTGCTAAGGCATGGAGAGCTTTGCAAATTAAAGAACAAAAAATAATACTATCAAGTTTGATAGGGATGGCCTTGTTTAAAGGAGACTGTATCAGACAATGTATCAGTTCATGAAGTCCATTTCTCCCTTTTGGTCTCTACAGTCATCAATTATGGTGAGCAGTTCACATTCATATTTTATTGTACATATTTTCATCCTTTTCTTTCTTAATTTCTTTCTACACCAGCTTGCGAAAAGACAGAGGAAGCCCTCTTCCAACAATCACTTTCACATCTGATAAAGAATATGCCACTCCAGCAAATGGCACCAAAAAAAGGTTTGTCAATCTGTAATTTTTATTAATTACATCTCCCACTTTGTTGTATTCTTGTTGTGGTTGTTGTTGTTTTTTTGTGTGTGTGGGGAAGTGTTGCTTCCCAGTCATAATCTTTTTTTAAAAAAAAATATCAGAAATATGATTCAATGAATCATAGGTTAGTAAAAAAAATTATGAAGAACAGATGAAGGAAATAAATTACTAATTGGCAGAAGCAAATCCACAAAATTTGAGGAGATAAAACTTTATAACCCTAGTCAAAAGGTAAGATTATAACTACAACGGTTCTGTTATTTCAACTTTAGACTGATTTATTTGTACTTCTAGGTTTCCTCGTGATTCGAAAGCCAATCCATATGAAACTGTAAATATCATTTATCGAAGGTTGGTACAACGTTTAACCCTTTCCAATAAAAATCTAACTTGCACTGATTGGATATAAATACACGGAAAGATTTCCCCACATCCACATACTACTTTAAGGCAAAGTCATAGTCTCAAAGGCAATCTTTTGTTTTCGCCATTGTATTCTTTATCCAAGAACGTACTGTATGCATAATGAGGATGGGACTATGCGAAAATCCTGCCAAAGACCAGTACCCCCGTTCTAGTTGTCCTAGCATTACCATACAATACTGACCTTAACGAACACATCTATGCAGTGCTTTAAAAATTCCCTAACATCCATTGGGCGGGTCGGTACCACTGATAATCACAATTTTGTGATCATCCGAAGAACCGTCAGAATCCTATCACTCCCGCTTTTAGTCGTCAGAAGAAGTTTACTCCGGAAACCATACAGAGCTTATATACCGATCGTACTAATAATAGATTTTTGAGAATGAAAAGAGTGGCAAAACTATTAAAAAATTGTGTTTAAATGTGCGTAAACATTGATTATGGACGCCGCCATCTTTCATCTTACTTAGCCGCCTGGCCGCTGATGTCTTTCCCTACGTCTCATTTTGAGCAACAATGTTGCAAGTGTGATTTAATAACTGTAAATTGACTACTTGTCGTATTTTCCTTTCTTCTTTTTAGTTCGGATAGCTCCGAGAACTCTACCATTGGTGAAAAAGAAGTTTCCTCAAGTGACAGGTGAATTTCATATTGTAATTATTATGGATAGATGATAATTTTTATCGTTAATTTTTCGTGAAAACATGTGGGTGAAGGCTCACCCAGTTATCTTTGGTAAATTACACATCAGATGGGTAATGTCATCATTAGGAAACAGTTTTACCTGAGAAAGGTTTTCAAACTGCTCATTTTATTGCAGCTGTCTCGTGGATCAGGATCGGGACTCTCCTAAGATAACTGAAAATCCCCTTTACATCGGGTATGTGCAAAACTTTGTTTGCTTTTCTGACAATTTTCTTTTGTGAACGGAATTTTCTTAATGTGACCGATTTCTTTGCAGTTTTTCTCCGCCAGTCAAAAGCACTGCTGCAGTAGGATACCAATTGTAAGTTTTGCCGCTTATCCTATCTAAATTTTATCAAACACCACTTGTGAAATATGTGAAAGAGAGCCAATCCAGATGACAATTATTACTTGGCCAGTCAAAAACGTCACGATCTCGTTGAAGGCTAGCAAGATTAATGTAGCATCCACTCTCCTCCTCCTCCTCCCCCCCCCCTCGCTCCGAAAAAAAGACACTGGACACTCCCAACACCTCAGGATTTCGATTTTGGAAGGAAAAACGAGATCGACCATTAATAGACGGAATAGTCGTAATCAGAGCTGCACAGACAAGCTGATCGAGTTTTCTACTCTCTGAACACAATACATTCACTACTTTCTGTCCATTTTCGCCTTTGATTACTCTCCCAAAGTTTCTCTTACCGGAGAGTAATCTTCTGTCTCTTTTGTCTCTAGGATTAAACCACCGAACGGGGCTGCACAGAGTCATTACAGGTATTCTAACAACCTGCTGGGTCAATAAGCTAATGATAGAAAAGTTTAAAGTTTAAAAGTTTAAAAGTTTAAAGTCTTAAATATTGATGGTCGAAGGCAATCCTGAATTGCTTTGGTCTGGCTTTTTCCTTATAAAGCGCGTTTCGACCGACTTTCATTGTATTAAAACGGAAGTTGTCATAACCGAAAATCAGAGCAAAGTAAGTTGCTTGTTACGAAAGTTAACTGACTTTGTATTTATTTAAAGAAGCACGTAGCTTAACGGTGATTTATTTGGGGAAACAAGTCTCAGTTTGAACCAATCAAAAGAAAGAACAACACTAGCTTTGATTGAAGCGCTTGAATTTCTTTGAGTTGACTAATGATAAACGAAAATAATTCATGGTGCAAAGCCTTGGTTCGAAAACGAAGGAAGGTTTGAAACCTTGGAAACGAAAATGATTTGAAAACATTTTCATGCATTGAAGCTCATGCACACAACAGAGGTTCAGCACTTGGCCACTTTTTGAAGGCGTGGGTTTGTGGGACTCTGAAATTGGATCTTCTTTGTTTGCCATGTTCATTTTAACCAGAATCTGTTGCTTCATGAAAAATTCTGCATGAGTCTCTTGCACAATCCTTTTTTTGTTGTAACCTATTTTTGCGTTTAGCCTTCCAGTTAAAAAGACTCCAAAAGTGACATCCATCGAAAATCCCAACTACGAGAAGACGTTACCAGTAACGGTAAGACTTTCGTTTATTTGACTAATTTTTTGTTTGTTGTTTTTAATTTATTACTCCAATTTATCCTATTTTGAATAAGGAGAAGTGTCATTGTCTCTAATATACATACGATTCATTTGGATATCGTTGAAACAAAAGTGTTTGACGATAATGATGCTCGAACCCTTCCATCAAAAGTTGAAACCAATTTTCATTCCCAAGGATGTTCGAAAAGTCGGAAGTCCATTTGTTTTGTTTCGTTTAATCCTGTAACTCCAAACATGTGATCTTCCGAGATTTCATTGTAAAATAATCAAGAGAATTTACTGTCACATCTGGATAACTCCCCACAGTTTTTAATTTTTCAAATTTTCATAGCTTGTTCACCGATAGTGTATTGAACCCTTAAGGAGAAAACCTATTTGGTCCCCGGTTTGGCCAAATTTCAAGTTGTGTGGTCTTTGGATTTTTCATCGCCGCTGACCTATTTTACGGTTCTTTACTTATTTTTTTTCTCTCTTTTTTCCCAGCAGAACCATGAGTATGCTAAACCAGAAATTAAGACGGATACCAACTGTTAGCCAACATGTGGAAACAGTGAAAACAATACCCCAACAACTTAAGTTAAAATTAGAACTCCTGGCTAGTTTGTGGTATAACAGTGTAAACTATAGTATGGTAAACTTATAGATACTGAAAGCGGTGCGGTACTCCGTTTAGCGGTTTTCTTAGAATTCTGGGGTATTCAAGTCGTTTTGGCGCTTTAAATAATTGCTGTTTAATGCATGAATACTATGAAAAAAACAACAACAACAAACAACACTCAAATGCGTGGTTAGAAGGGAGAAAGCCGATAAGGAAAATATAATTCAAAACGGAAGGGATTGGTTGATCCTAGGGTTGGAGCCAAGTTCCAGATCGCGTTTCTCCTCCCATTGGAGACGCACGTATAAAGTAACACACTGATTAGTAGCTGTATATATTTGTCAGGTTCACCACCTAGGAGACGCTTGCTGAAAAGTAATTTCACTTAATTTCACAGCTGTCATCGAGAAAGATCCTTGCAGGTTAATTTACGCCGGCGAAGTTTATCTTTTACATGTTTTCCATGACGTGACCTTGTTATAGTTATGGTGACATGCCTTTGTTTGAGACAAAAGGACTTCTCGATAGATAGTTTGTTAAATTATAGCTCTTTCCTTGTCGTCTCCGAGAAGAATTTGACGAAAGCGCGTTGACCCTCTCGATTCCTTCCCAGTCTAGCCCTCAATTTTTGCTATGACGTCATGATCCTCGGCTTTATGTAGCGTTTGAACAGCAAAAAAGGATAGACTGGGAACGAGTCTAATAAGGCAATTGAGGCCTTTATTTCTTTGCTCAACAAGTTACAGTAGAAAAAGGGGAAAATACCTGTATTCGTTACTGGAAAAGTCACAAATTTCTCTGTCTTTTGGTGGAAAGTGGGAGTATTTGGGAAAGTTAACTATTACAAAAACTAGTTGGTGTCGGATAATGATTTCTTTCGTTGACATTTCATCTTCTCTACAGGCCTTGTTTACGCTTATTTTCCGAACGTTCGGTTTTGTTTCCTTCTTTAAAAGGATTTGCGTGTGAAAGAAACCTTTTGTGTCTCGGCATTGAAAGCCCGTGTGAGTCTGGCTGTAGAAAAACTTGAAGTAGTCTTAGCATTTGAATGCAGTTTGCTCGCAGTTGTGTGTGTCGCGAGTTCAAAGAAAATACTTTGATTTTCATTTACGCCACAGGTTTTCGATCATGATGTAATTCAAAGTATTGATACAGAGTGATTGTAAGAGCAATACTTTGGCAGTAAGGTTTGTAAAATGGCAATCGATCTAACAAGTCTCCTACACTTTCAAATCTTTGGAAAGTGCCCGAATTTGTTTGCCTGTTTGGAGAGATAGAATTATCAATCCCAAATATTGACGACTTTCGCTCGGGTTCGTAAGCCGTCTACTCGGTCAATCATCGAGCGCAATATTCCGAGAGTGAAAAAGACCTTTTCACAGTTTTGAATGTAAAATTGGGTTAAGCTAAGAAAGGATATAATATATGAAGATTGCAAAGGCGTTAGCTTTGTACAGACGTGTGAAAGAAAATATTGATAATGAAAAGGACTAGTCCACAAGATTGAATAGGAATTAGTTACGTAAGGTATACATAGAAGGCTAAAAAGCTTTGGGCTTTTTACTGTTACGTAGAAATAGTATTAGTAACTTGTCTATAGAGAGCTGAATGAGTTGTACAACAGCCATTAACAGTGGCGGATCTAGACCTTAAGTTAAGTGGGGGGAGGGGTTTTGTCGCTTGCCCTGCCGGCTTTTCTTCCTTCTGCGATTCTTTCTCTTTTACCCAAAATAAGAGGGGGGCCCGAGCCTCCTGGGTCCCTCCCCTAGATCCGCCACTGATTAAACAGTATTTTCGTAGGGTTCACGACTCGAAGAGTCAGCAGAAATGTTGAAATTGTTCACTTATTTAAAATTCACGGTTGTATGTTTTAAGTCAAGATTTTGCATTATATTTAAAGAGGTTATATAGTAATAAAGGCCAGACAATATTTTGTTGCAGACATTTGAAGTTTTGCATTTTTTGCGATAAATTTTATACAAATTGAAAAGGGTCATCTGGTGATCAATTGTATCACTACAATCAGAATATCCCATAAGGGAAAACAACAACAACAACAACAAAAACATACAAAAATGAACAACAAAACCATAAACAAAAAATACCATCGATCTTATTCCCTGATTGCTTATGAAGAGACACCAATTAAAACACACTCGGTCTCCAATCGGTTACTTTCATGAAGGCACTCGGGCGCTCGAAGCTTCCTATCTCAAAGCACATCTAAACACAGACCAACACGAACACATCCAAATATTAAAAAGCTTGCGATCCATTTAACTTAATTCTGAAAAGCCTATTTATTACTCGAAAACCCATAAAATTGGCTAACTTCAACAGTAAAGCATTCATTCTGTCACGACAGGAGTGATCCACTTCAGCTCGTAAAACAGTATCTAACTGCTAGTTAGTGAAACTCAATAACATGGCTAGTATGCATTCTCCTCTGTCAGGTATGATACAATTTACTTTGGACTGTCAGACTGTTTTATAAGTTGGCTGTAAAGAAGCAAATATTCAATGATACAAAAACAAACAACCAAAAGACAAAACTAAGAACCACTCATAGTTAAAATTTTATTTTTGAAAATAAATTCCTAAACTGCATCTAATTCTTCCTGTATTAAAGGAACAAAGCGACAATCGAAAATGATGGTGTCGTCTGATTGTCCTGGCGAGAGTGGTCGTGTAAAGTAATGTTGTCGGTCACAATGATTTGAATCTAACAGCCTATAAAAACACATCAAAACTGACCAATTACTTTCCACGAACCAACTTATTACATTCAACTGACAATCACCTCCTCACCTCCTGAATTCCCCTCAAGTTGTCAAATCGTCAGTTACTACCAAGCTCCATTCTAGAGCGCAGCTCTGCTTTTCTCTACCTCGTTCTACCACCGACAAGACTAAACACATTAGTTCAAACATCTTTCTGCGTAGCCGCTGTCCTGACCCTTTCTTGACAAAGGGCTTTCCCTACCCTCTTTGACCAATTTCTAGAATAAACTTGGACTCGTATCAACAAGAGTCCTATTCTCACCCAGACGATTAGACGACACAATCAACCGTTACTCATTTAATGTGATGGAGAATTAATCAAAATTGAACCTGCAACTTCATAATAATAATATTCATATCCAGCATATGGCCTCTGATTTTAATCTTCATATCAAAATCTTAACACCTGAAGCAGCTTATCAATTTTATAGTTAATTACAAATTATTTAATAATATTAATAATAATAATAATTTATATTTGTTCTTGATACCGCCCAATTCATCGATTTCACAGCATAATTACTCATTTTTGGAAATGATTCTATCAGATTATTTTTTGGCAATGATATGATTTACCGTCACCAAAGCTATACAGACAAACGCCCAGCCAATCACGAATACGATCCACAAACTCCATCCGAAGGGAGACTTGTGCTTGTTGTCATAGCGACCTGTCATCTCCGTCAACTGTTTCTTGCCAAAGTACGCAAGGCAGGCTGGGATAACATACTGCACTCCAGTGCCGGCGTAAGACCCCGTTACGCCGACGAGTATTTCCAAGTTCTGCGTAATGAAGGCCACTATGATAGGCAAGGTGATCGTGGAGAGTGGAAAAACGATCCGGTCCACGACCCAGGGGTAGGGTCGTCCTTCGCGGTGAAACAAATTCTTTAGATTGTCGCGGAGGGTTATGGAAATGATCGGGAAATTGGTGCTGAGAGTGAAAACGGGAAACAGTGCGAGGAAATATCCCACAAAGCTGCCGGAGGTTTTCCTGAAGTTAAGCGTATACAAGTCGTTCAAGTCCTCTGAGCGGAAGGCAAAGATGGCGGTGAAGGACAACAGAGCGTAAAAAATCAGGACTATGGCGAAGTCAGCGACAAAGAGCAACGTGATACGCGACTTGTTCTTCATTGGTGTGATTAGAGATGGGAGCGAATGCTGGCACATGTATGAGTACACACACACTCCGAACAGATTAGGCAGCCCGGAGATGCTTGCTGTAGGTGTATCATGTTCCCCCTGGCCCTTACCAATCTTGACTACAGCGATGACAATCATCATGATAAAGGCTGTTGAAAAGCAGACGTAAAACACATTAGCATGGCCTCTTCATTCCTCTTCATCTCTGACAGTGTACAGAAAGACCCAATGCATGGATGGGAGAAACTTGAGAAGATCGAAAACCATCTGCATTGGGATACCGTGAGAAATACACGGCTACATTTAATACGATGTTTTTCAATCACACTCCCGTACATTCATGTTGTTGGTAATTATTTCTAGTGTTCCGATAAGTGGCAATTGAACTTTTTATATGCGAGTGTGATTTCAAAGTAATTTAGTATTATCTACTGAGTTGATGACGTAAATTGGCCACTGTAAAGAGTTTAAAAGCTGACGTTTCGAGCGTTAGCCCTTCGTCAATCACTCTGACGAAGGGCTAACGCTCGAAACGCCAGCTGTTAAACTTTTTACCGTGGCCGATTTACGTTTTAAACTCAGTAGACAATACTAAATTACTTTGATACTACTAAATTAATTTCTATTATACTCTCCCACCGACGCAGCACCACATTTTATTTAGAAACTTGCCCCCCTGATTTCAAAGTAGACGAAACTTTAAAAATTTAAAGATATGTAACCCGCTGATAAGAACAAAACAGCAATAAGACAAGAAATCAGGAAAGTACAAATAAACTAACTACTTACCAACCCATCTCATGAGTGTGGTAAAAATCTGTAAGTATTTTGTTTTCTGTACGTTGAAAAATGCAAATGGTCCTAATGTGACGGTGAAAATGGCCTTAAAAAGGAACAGAAACGAGCAAGTCAAGTGCTGGGTCCTTCCCTATAAACATGTTGCTTCAGGATCATGCACTTTGAGTAAATACACCCGCAGTACATACATAACGCTTTTATCTAAAGATTACATGATGAGCTCTCGATTTCTGTGCGTGATAGTTGATGAGGGCGAGGCCCAAAAAAATTATAATGCATACGATCACGCAGGGTACACGCATACTATCACACATACCATCACACATTCTATCTCGCACACTATTACGCATACCAACACACAAACTTAATTTTAGGAGCTTGCTGGATAAAAACACTTACTAAAAAGACACGATAAACATTGCCTTGTGTGACAGAGCCCCATCCTGGACAAGTCTTGTTGTTGGATTTGGTAGAATCAGTTTCATTCCAAGATCCGCTGGGAAAAGGGAAAAAAATCAAATCAAAGTTTAGCACAACACTTTGCAACGGTAATCGGCTCTCTTCCGAATGGGATACGGGTATTGTTACAACTAAAAGATTAAAAATTATGACAAAAATTTTAATGGAAGCCTCTAGATGTTATTCAGGCAGCTGTTTTGACCGTTGCAATAAGTAGGAAAAAGTCTAAGGGCTCATAGCAGACTAGCCTATGCGCAAGTTCTTCTTAGCGCTGCTCCACGAGCATCTCGCAGCCTTCTTGTGAACGCTTCAAGAGGCCGGTGAGGAGCCTGCCAAAACTCCTGCTAGACCTCTTGCCAGCGAGCAAGGCAGGCCAGTTGAGCCCTCGCACTCTTCTCAAGAAGTCTGTGAGATATTTGTTAAGCAGTGCTGATGAAAACCTGATCGAGGAGGACCTCCCTATTAGCGTCACGGCACAAGCGTTTCTTCGCCTGTTGGAAAGTTTGAGACCTTGAAACACAAACCAGGGAGGGGTCTGCGAGGGATCTAGCACTGATATTAGTGCCCAAAACACCCAAGCAAACCACTACCCGTCTCGTCTCAAATCTCACCGCGGGCGGAGAAACGCGCGTCCTGCAGCACTAATCATAAACGCCAGCTAACTTCTTCCCTACCGACCCTCAAGTAAGATATTGAATATTCTTGTGATTGACAGTACCAAGGTTGATGCCACTGTCAAAGCTATAGAGGTTACCCACTTCTCTAGAAGGCAGTTTGTCATAGCCACCTCTCATCCCCCATCGCCCCGCTATTTTCTTATGAATAAATAGATTAACAAATATAATATATAAATCTAACCATCTTACCATGTCACTTTAGTTAAAGACTTTGGAACAGCAGCTGCATATATTGCCAAGTCACCATACAGGTACAACACAATACAGAAGTAGAACAGTCGGACTCCAACTAATAATAAAATAATATTATTAATAATCATTAATAACACAAAAGTTGATTAAAACGTCCACAGAGTACTATAGCAAGCACAATGGGGCTGAGGTGTTTAGAGATTACCTCGACAACTCAACATCAGTGTGCAAATTCTCCACACTAATTCCTATACATTTCCTTAGATACTGACAAGGAGAATAATTAAGAGGAGCAAATGACACAACTTTTGTTTTAACTCTGTGGTGGTTTCAATTTTGCTTTTCAAGCCAAACAGCAAAACACTGCTAAAGGTTCTCCCGGTTTGCACTGTTTCTGTTCTTTACTGCCTGCCTTTTTGCAACCCCTAAGTCAATGGTAGGTTTGTACTTGCTCTTTTCTCCAAAAATGCACCTCAAAGCACAGAATTTCAAGTAAAAGATAGTGGGACTGTTCTTAGACCAGCAACTTAATTCATTACTTACGTTTACTGAAAAAAAGGTTGGCCATCTGACCCTACAAACAGAGAAAAAATATGTATCACCATTATAGAACAGAGATATCACAGCTAATTATAGGTGTAAGTAAACAACTTAGTAATGGTAATTGAGCTAAGTGGAGTGCAATTTGGTCTAATATTGTAAGCATGATTTGTAAAAAGTTGCAGAAGCTGTCTTTCATTTTTCCGCAATTGGGTTGGTTTCTTTAAAACCAGCCTTGAAATTTGATTGGTTGTTTTTTGTTTTCAATTATTAAAGCTCTCTCATTGGTTGGGAAAAAAGTGTGATTTAAAGCAAAAACTGGTGTAATTTGTGAATAAATAGCACCGATTAGAGCAAATCAGATCGCAAGGATCACTAGTAATTTCAAAATGAATGTAATAAAGATTTTTTCAGCTGTTTCTCATTACTGTGTGGAAATAAATCAAAAGCAAGGAGAGAAGAATCTCTACAAAGCACTCACCATTTCTACACGTTTGGATATATCATAGAGATCTCCTCTTGAGCTACCCAATGCATCTAGTAGTGATAAACAAGAAAATTATCTGCCCACAATCAAGGCTTTTTTAAAATTTTTTTTCAAGTATAATCTCTGTATTTAGGGGGGAATGCAGTTCTCATGCTCCACATTATCAATTTTGTTACAAAAAATTCAAAGAGGAATTTTTCCTGCTAAAATTTTAGAAAATCTCTTTTTGCCAAAAATTTAACAGATTCTTGAATTATCATATATATATTTCAGCAAAAACACTAAGCATAAAACAGTTTTATAAGAAAACCATGTTGTCAGATGTTTTTGCCTTGCTCTATGACCAAAGACATCTTCATAAACCATTCAAGTATCTACACTTTACATCACCAGCTTACTTTTAAACTGGTACTTAATAATCTAAACTCAGTTCTAGGTATCCTGCCTCATTTGCCATATGACATCACAGTGCTCCAAGCTGCCATTGTTATGGTTGTCACCACTTAGGCTTGATGTGTTTGGCAGACAAGAAGCAAACTTGACGGTGGTACATTTCAAGCACCTAGTGTGAATGGTCCAAATTTCACTGAGATAAACATTTTCATGAAATACAACTGAGGCTTGTCATTTCCTTAATGAAAATTTGCATCTCTCCCTTTGGTTGTTCAAGTATTAGGCATTGACATGCCATGTGAACCTCAAAAACTGGCATCATATGAACCTTTGCTGTTGTTGTCACTGCTAACCATATTGCATTCTTAGACTATTTCAGTGGTATGCAAAGCAGCCAGTATGCAGTGGTACAGAATGTCATATATTATTTATTTTATCACTTTCATAAAAAAAGTTCACTTGACACTATAATTACTCACTAATAAGCAGTGGCACATTCTCATCAGGGTCATCAGAAGATGAATCTTTTTCACCATTAGAACCAGCACTTAAGGCACTACCAGTAGAAGGATGTATCTAACAAAAAAAGGAACACAAGATCATTAAACTTGATTATCTCTTTACCAATAAACTGTTGAAGAATGAATTTAACTTGTCCATTGTAAGAGGTGTAACACTGTTTGTAGTTTCTTTCCTAAAGGAAGAAAAATTCCAGGACTTTTAATACTTGGAGGAGTGATAGACATTTAGGACATTTAGGAGAAATTATTTACATGTAAATCACTTCTGAGAGTTAAAGGAGGCCAGGTTTAAGAGATGATTAGGTTCACTGGTCCTTAATTGCAAAAGTAAATGTAAAAATCAAATAAAAATGCAGTTAATACTTACTGGTGCTGACAAACTTTTTTCTCTTGCTTTTAGACGTAACATAGCATTAGCAGCAGCCATTGCCTCTACCATGAATGTGGAGGTTATAAAACTAAACATCAATATTAAAAAGTATTTTGAGTTTCAATTTATTCAGTAAAATCAGTAGTTAAACCAATTTACCTAGTATCAGGGTCAATAAGTAGGGCAGTTGTATAATATCAAATGTTACTTTTTTTTACTAGGTAAATTGTGAAAAACTTTAAAATCTGCAGCCACGCTCAGCAGAAAAATCTGCTTTATTTAGTGACATTATTGTGACCTTGAAATCATGGCAAAGTTTTAGGCAGTTAAAATAGTATGAAAGTCAAAACATCATTTCTGTCTATTTTCTCAAAACATTCCATTGGGAGCAGTTATAAGCAAAAGTTAGAGTAAAATTACAAAAAAAACTTAAAATCTGTATGAGAAGTTTATTACTAAGGTGACAATCACATGTTATTTACATGCTAATCACATGTTTTTCACATGACTGAATTTTTTAGTCAATGTTTCATACAATTTAAGAAATTAACCCTTTAACCTTCATAAGTGACCAAGACATAATTTCTCCTTACAATATCAATACAATATCAAGCAGATTAGTGATGAGAATAAAGAAAAATATCAGTTTGGGGTTAATTAGTTAATTCAATACTTAATTCTCTGAACTAACATTATAGAAATTGTATGGTTGGTGGTAAGGAGAATTAAAATTTTGATCTAAGTGAAGCATGTGTAGAAAAAGATACAAAAGTAAAACCAAAACTTGAATAATGCATGAAACTTACATCTATAATTTAAAATATTCTCACACATTCTTTATAGAGGTAACCGGGTAAAAAGGTCGACAGATTTCTGTTATTCAAGCAATAGAGGACTCTTCTGTGTTTGTAGAGCCTCTTCTAAACACAAAAATGTTCTCAACCCCTGAGTTATTATAAGAGGAAGAGTAAACACAGAAAAGTCTTCTATTAACCCTGTAACCTCTAAGAGTGACTATCATCTAATCTCTCCTTACAACATCACCCTTGAATCACACATAAAGGTTATGAGAATAAAAGAAATGATCACCGACTAAAGATGCTCTTGAATGTTAGACAAATTTTCCTTGTAAGTACCTTAAAAAATGCACTAAGAACAGTACAGAGAATATGTATATTGACTTTAGGGTGTAAAGGGTTACTTTTATCAAATACTTCTCACATAGAAATTGAAACACAGAAAGTGTAATATCACACTGTGTTCGCAAACTCTAATCCAAATGCATCTATTGACCATAGAGAGCATACTGGTATAAATTGTCTTAGATATTTTGTAAAAGATTTGCACACACACAATAAAAAATAGCATAACAACTACTTTGAATTGACAGCATAACAGAGACTTCTCATTGATTCATTCAATCAATGTTGGTAGAATCCATTTTAGAGGTAGATTGATAAAGTCAAAAGCTGATATTTGGTCAGTAGATAGTCAGCCCATGTTCAGCTGAAGCCTCAACACTTGTTGGTAATCAGCTGACATGTCAGTAAATAAACAATGATAAACAAACAACATTTGAATATCCACTGATCACATATCAGCTGACTACTTAAATACTATACATCCCTTGATTGCTGGCTATTATCTTTGGCAAGGCAACCTGTTTTGCCCATGATCATAGAGGACTACAATCACTGTATCATGTATCATTCTGTAGCATCAGCTGAAAGTAGTCAGCTTCATCATGGGGCAGTTTGATCTTTGTATGGGCTATGACCTTCAAGGTCTTGTAATATGAGATATGGGGGGAGTGGATGGGGGAGTATTGCAAAACTAAAATAAAACAAACAATAATCAATGCTGTTATGATAACACCATAATAGTGATAATGATAATAATAATAATAATAGTTGGAATGGTAACGATAGACCTCCACTAACCTCATCAGGCATAAAATACCTATCAGAACTGATGCGATCAACCAACCCGCATTTGCAAATGCCTTGGGCATTGTCAGTGCTCCAACTCCAATAATCAAATTGAAAACATATATAAAGGCAACCTGGAAGAACGAGGGAGAGAATACATCCATATTTCCGTTGGTTAGTTGGTAAAAATTTCTCATTACACAATGTCGCAGAAATTAGTCAAACATCGTTTTTGTTTTCTGCTTAGAGTTTAGAGCCTTCAATCATAAGTTGCCAGGAAAAAATGATCTATTTAACATGTATTAATCAGCAATTACAGGCGACAAGTTTTAGAGAGAATAATTGAACAAAAATTGAGTAATTTAAAGTAAAAGTTCCTTGCAAAATACTCGTGACGTCGAAGAGAAAAGCGAGAACTCGGATGCATGTTATCTTCAGAGCAAGCAGAGGGATGAATCAAGAACAGCAACCTTCAATAAGACCGTACACTTACTGGCGTAGAATATGGAGAACCTGTTTCGGTAACTGCAACCATCCTTGATGCTAAAGATACTGTTAACCTGCAGATGCAATCTATAAGAATGACTAATCATAGGGGTCAGTCACATGTTTACTTCCGGACTTAAAGTGACGAGTGAAGACTGGTTGTTGTGACCGCTGACTAGTACTTGTAGGCAACTGTTGAGGGGTGAGTTGACCTGAGTTGGGGATAGCCGGTAAGTTATGAAAGTCAACAGTGAAACAGTCTTGGAGGGGAGAAAAATAGTCCTAGTACCTTACAGAAAGGAACACGTTCCAAGGTATGTTTGCAGAATCATGGAGTTGGAGATGAATTTCTAGAGGAAATATTTCTATATAACCGTATACTGTACTAAATCAAAGCATTAGTCTGAGAGGCAATCTGCTGTTTGGGCATTGTCTTCTCCTTTGTGAAAACTGTATGCATAACGAAGCATCGGGTCGTACAGAAATCTTGCTATTTTAGGTTCTAGATTAAACGTTCGAAAATAAACCCATTCATCCTAAGTTGTTTTGATTTGTATCAATTTGTTAACTTGAAAATAGTCAGTGTATCTGCGTGTCTTTCAGTCCGTCCATAAGTTATTCAATCAGTAAGCCAGTCAGTTTGTCAGACTGTCAGTTTGTGAGTATGCCCTCCACTGAATGTGACATGAAGTAAGGAGAGTCTCTATCGGGGCACAATAAATTTGTTTGGGAATCCTCTAGAATCTACAAAGTGCAATTGTCATCAATTTTATCATTAATTATCTAGTTCTGTTACACTGTTTTATCTTCAAGATATCATGACTGGATGCAGTCACCAGAACTGTTGGAGCAAACAGCATCTGAAAGACTGACACTGGATCAGGAATATGAAATGCAACAGAGTTGGTTCTTAGATGAAAACAGTATGTCAGTTGCTATCATTGAAACTAGACTTTACATTGTCCACTTAAGCTGGACCTATGAGGTGGTTCTTTTAGTAAGGAAATAAAAGTTTGCAAGACAATTAACCTGTTAACCACTAAGTGTCGCTTGCATCTAATTTCTCCTTACAGTATCAGTCTTGAATCGTATATAATGGTCACAAGAATAATGGAAAAGATCACAAATTTAACCCTTTACTGCTTGAGGGAAATGCCAAATGTTTCTTAAATGAGGACAATGAACCATTAGATCATGTATGATATATCATTTTAAAGGTATTTTTTGGAGTATGCTATAATTGACACCAACAGGTATGGAGGAGATAACTGAAAAGACTGAGAAGTGTCCAAAGTGAAATATAAAATATCTTGAAATTTTTTGTTTGCCTTGTACATATAGGGCATACCACTAAATTATGGCCTAATTGCAGCTCCCAGAGCATTGATTGTTGTGAGATATCACCTTGACCAAAATGATATGAGGACAAAAAGTTACAGGGGTGGTAAATCAAGTGTTATATTGGAGGGGGCCATGATTTTTTGCCTTCAATGTGCAGATCTTTAAATGACTTTTTGGTTGTGAAAATTTCAGAAGAAATGATTAAACATTGAGTATGAAATGGCATCTTATGCCATATGGCACTCTTGGGCTTTAACTCTTTACCCCCCGACATCAGCATGTATATTCTTCATACTGTTCCTCATACATTTCCAAAGAGGCTGACAAGGAGAATTTGTTTAACAGTCAAGGGCTGCTTTAGTTGTTGATCATCTCCTCTATTCTCATAACTTTTATGTTTGATTCAGGGGTGATATAGTTGGGAGAAATTAGATACTCATCACTCTTAGGGGCTAAAGGGTTAACCTCCTAATTGTCAAATAAATTTTCCCGGTTATTACCACAGAAAATGTAGAGAGATCAGTGAGGAGAATGTGAATACAAATGTTAGAGTGTAAAGGGTTAACCCTTTAACTCCTAAGATAATAAATCATATTATGATTGTTAATTCTCTCCTCTAGCTGCTACACATTTCCTTGTAAATTGGTTATGAGAATTTGGTGTTTAATCAAGATAATATCTTGTACCTGATAAATTTGAGTATTCTCACTACCTGCTTGCTGGATAATGTATTGGATGCTATAAGGAGATATTGCATGTTAATCACTTCTGGGAGTTAAAGGGTTAAGGTTCCATCAATCTAGGCTTGTTAGCACATAGGCAGCCCAGGCATCACGCATTGTGTTACTCGGTGTTAAGTTACGAGAGGAACCATTAAAAATTTGAACATGTTTTAAGGAATAGTGTGGGGAACGATATATGGTCAATTTATAACAATAAATATTTTGAAATATGAACATTTTACACACAAAATTTATAAAACTTACTCATACCTTGTGTATCCGTTGTAGTTTCTGGCAATTTCTGCCATTTTAAGCTTGCTTTACCATCACTGTTATGACATGAAATTATTTACCATCACTGCTATGACATGAAATTACCATCTGTTATTCCTGTCAAAAGACTGTGTCTTTTGTCATGAATGTCATCAATGAAATTGTACAACCATTTGATGTACATACTGGATTCAAATTTTGATAATTAGGTACTAATTCATTTTTTATATATATATTTTTAATAATTCAGAGTGTACATTTATCATCTTGGACAGAAACAAATGGGTCCATCCAGAAGTTACAGAAATAGGTTTGTGAACTGTTCATAATCATTACATCAGATCCCCAAAAATAAGGAAAACTCTTCCTGTGATAACATTTGAACAAAACCATGTCACACTGATTATACAGCTGGGCTGCACAGGAAAATGTGTGGTCTTTTGTCATGAAGTATGGAGTCCATGAAGCTTGAAGATACAATCTTGTTTTGACTTGTTTGATAAGCTATTTAGCAATTAGGGAGTCCTACAGATGAGTGAAAAATGTAAATAAGCTAGTTCTAAATACAGTAAGGGAAGTCTAAACAATGTCCTGAGAGCTAGCTACAAATGTACTTACATGGAAAATAAACAATTAATAAGTCACAAAGTTGGAAGAACTTATGAATAACTCAAAACAACATGGCTGGAAATGGCAGGCATCTTTCTGAGCCGGTCAGTGGTATTAGGGCTTAATGGGCTGCTGTACAATAGTACAGCAGCTGTAGTACAGAATAGTACAGAATACTGCTGTACTATAGTACAGCAGTATTCTCTTCACCGCTCACAGTCTCAAGCCATATATTTTCCTGTCTGTTTCTTTGTCTCAACCAATATGTGCTTATCATTATATCCTGATAATATTTAATCAACAAATTTATATGGTGAGCTTTAGCCTTCAGTAAATTATGTTTTTTTTTTGTCGTGATGAAAAGGGTACTCATGTAAAATTAGGTTTGGCTATAAGTATCTAAAGCACATTTTTGTTGGCAATTCATGTTTGATTGTGTACTAAAGCATAAATGGATGTTTTTGTTTAAAGAATGTATGGCTGGTGATGTCAATTTGTTCTTCGATGACAGCCAGCAAGAAGTTGCAGAGATAGAAATTATGATAGCAGGTATAATTTACTGTGATTTTTTTGACTTACTATCTCCTCCAGGCCTCTAATCAACAAAATAACTCCCTGACTCAGAATTACTTGAAGGATCAGAGATTTAGTTTCCTTAGCTTTGTTTGCATTTCCTTTTAGTATAGCAAGAGCATCCCTTTTCTCTTATTGATTACATAACTATGGGAAGGAAAGGGTGAAAATTACAGCCATGCAAGACGACTCAACCTTATTTACTGCTTTGCAGGAGATTTGAACATAAGTACATATCTTCACTCACTTTGAAACAAGTGGCTACCTCAAATTCAGTGCTTATACAATCTGAAGCAATTTCTTTTGCTGAACATGTTTCACCATTAATCCACTTCCATGTGCTTTACAGAACCATCTTGTAGAAGATGTGGACTTGGAAGAGAAGCCCTATTAGCCATGATGAACTATGGTAACTGTTCAACTCATTTTGTGGAACACCCAGATTCATGATTACCTTCAGTAAGGTTTCCAGCAAATTTTTTCCACTTCAGGCTTGTATGTATCCGTGTAACCAGCCTTGAAAACTCCAAACAAGGTGTGACATGATAGAAATCACTCCTAAAAACATCTATCTATCCGTGGTCATGGTTTCTGATCATTGGGCTTCCTTATCTCCCACATGGACCAGCTGTTAGTATACTTATTTTGGGTTTTGTTTCATCATTATCAGGGTATTGATTATATCTCTCCTACATGAATTTTAGGTGTTACCTGCCTAGGAGTAAAAAAATATGTAGCGAAGATCGGTTGCGGTAACGAACCAAGTTTAGCACTTTTCCGCAAATTGGGATTTGTTGAGGTTAGCTTAAAAGCGTTTCTGTCCTATTCATGACAATGAAATCAGGTTTTTCTTATAAGTTTATGTCTATAAAATCCTTGTGCTGCGCTCCTAAGTGAAATGATCAGAAGAAAACGACAACAATAACAACCGCAATGACTTACGAAGCTATAGATACATTAAAGGGGATAAATTTCTAGAGAAACCGTGGTGCTGCATCGGTGGGAGAGTATAACAGGGTAATTTAGTGTTATCAACTAAGCTGAAAACGTAAACTGGCTCTGACGAAGGGCTAACGCTCGAAACGTCAGCCTTTAAACTCTTTACGGTGGCCAATTTATGTTTTCAACTCAGTTGATAGCACCAAATTACCCTTAATAGATACATTAAACAAACAACTAGAATGAGCGTATCTCTGCAAGGTGGTTCACGTCAACTGAAAAGCTATTTAAGCTTATGAAAATGTATAAAATTTGAGAAATAGGAAATAGCAAAATCAAGCGGAAAAATAAATAAGAGGAGTTGCCGAATGAAAAAGAGAGTTAGAGGAAACTACTAAATTGAGTGATTTGTTCAGATCCATCATTACGCATAGTAGCTGGCTATACTTGTGTAGGACACTGTACATGCACCATTTTAAAGTTACCGTGTCTAGACGTAGAAGATTTCACTTAAAATTTTTTTTTTCTTATTTGATGACAGATTTCCGTCAGTGAAGTATTCAAAGAGGTTACACTGGAGATGCAAGTAACCCAGAGTGTGAAACGACAGCTTACTCAGGCAACCAGTTACATTCTTCATCACAAGTATCCCTACAGACCTACTCAGAACTCGGATAAAAACTTGTAATCAGTCATGGAAGCTATGGGAGAATTCATCAAACATGTTTTGTTTTCTCGATCTCTGCACTTGCAGAGTCACAGAACTTCCGAGATGTCGGATACAAGGACACGATCTTTTCACACTCCGTTTTTATCATGTGACAGGCCGAATGTCCGGAACATAGATTTCAGCATGAAATCGAATGTTATTACAGTTGCCATTTAAGCGCGCAAGGATACCTAAAGGTTACAACAGCCCTGTTCTTAGCGGACTTTGAAAAAGAGGAACATTGCCTTGTTGTCCAGTTTCTGAAATATTCTGTTCATAAATGTATGGGGACGACACGAGAAGAAGTCATTCACTTGATGAGAGCAGAGTTTCTCCTCGGTATGTTAATAAGGAAACCAAAGTCGATCTTAGTTACTTTGCCTTCCATTGCATCACCAACACTCGCATTCGTAGTTACTGAGCTCGAAGGCCCGTGTCTTTATCACTGATACACATTTGCAATCCAGTTTAATCCTCTTCGTCCTGAGCTATCTTTGTTCAGTTATTCGGTTTGTAGTCATCTTTTTATTTTTTGTACTTTTGTACCCGCAGAGAAAAGACTAAAAACACTATGGCGTAACCCTTTTATCATCTCTCGATATAGCCCCCCCCTCCTCCCCCCTCCGTATTCCTACATTCGTAATAGATATTTTGGTAAAGGAGAAATCATTGCAGTTAGCAATGGTTAGATACACTATTGAAGCAATTGTGAAATTGAAATTAGAATCACAGAAGAGGAAAATTACCCTTGCAAAGGGTTCGAACCATGATCGTCACTCGTTTTCCAATGAATATGTCCGGAAGGAATCCCTGCTTTTTTTGTTTACTTCCGTGTTGAAGAACTCCACGGGACTCCCGAAAGTATCGCAAGGAGACAACCTTGAAAAAATAAAAACAATCACGCTGCAAGCAAAAGTATACTTATTACTGACGTTCCTTTCTACTGATGAAAGGCTAATGTGCCAATTTTCGAAATGATAGTTCTCAGTCGTATAATAAATCGAAATTTTCGTTTTCAGTAAAATGGGAAAATGATGAATAATAAGCTATTTACATCCGTTTTAATCGAAGAAACCAAATAGAAATGGTTTTTTTCATAGCTCTCAAGGTTCACTGAGTAAAGTTTAATTAATATTTCAAAGTACATGGGTATTCCGTTTTCGAAAGTTCGAAGAGGAATGTTTATTTTACCAGCTGAAACTGTGTCGAAAGTTAACCTCACAAGGCAAGACCCTCTGTGAATTAACGAATCATGTGAGAGGTGCATGCGCTTCCGTGAAGATTAAAGTTTTGAAGTGCACGAAAGATTTATGATCGTTTTTCGGTTTTGACTTCCGAGCTTCCTTTTTGGGCCCGTGTCATTTTTTCCCTGTAACGTTATGATAATGCGATTTTAACTGAAACAGACTTGACACGTAGCTCACGTGATACGAGATTTTGGCCTGTTGTTGTCGACCCGAAGCAAATAATTTGTCGACGAATGATCTGACGGACAAATGTTCGGTTCGCTAGAATATAATTATCGTCCTTGCATGACTGAGCAATGAGTTAACTGGCCAGCAAGTTTACTCTAAGCAAAGGCTTAAAAAAAATGTCCTCGATAAAGAGACAAAATGAAAAGGCTAAAACTGCTATAGTGGCGCTAAAACAGGAAAATGGAAATGATGTCTGTGCGGACTGCAGCAAGCAAGGTAACAGTGTCAAGTTAAGTGAGATATGGTTAGATGTTCCCTAGTGTTATTAACGAGTTCACTAATGTATCCATACAAATGGCAATTAACTGCCGTGGGTAGCTGCGCAGAACCCTATTCTTGTAAAGGTTGTGAACGAAGCCCTAGAAAAAGGCGGCAAGGTTTCGAACAGACGAAATGTCTATTTGTTTTGAACGTCGGTGCCTCGACGAAAGCTGTGCTCTAATTAAGGTCGTTAATTAGAGGTGCCAGTTTCTTTCCGTCGTGGTACCACCATTTCGCTTTTGTAATAAGAGGAGTTTTATAAGCTCTCCAACAGGAAGATAAATAAAGCCCCGCATTTGAACTGACAAACTGATCAACTCATAGGGCTCAGACCAAGAATTACTCTGAAGGATGAACCGATGTGACACTTCCTAATGAGCTTAAGCTTCGAAATTAGCATATATGGTTTCCCATTACAGATCCTAGGTTCACTTGTCTGAAGAAAGGATTATTCTTATGCCAAAACTGTGCTCAAGTCCACACTAGTTTTGGAGGTACAAATTCAAGGATCAAATCTATTGATCTGGGAAACTGGAATGACGAAACTCTACAGGTAATGTTCACCGCATTATTCAACTATTTGAATCACCGTAGAGACAAACTACGTATTTGCCTTGGATGTATTTCACATCATGCGATTACTTGACAATCACGAATGAGAAAGTTGTAGTTTTTTTTTTTATCCTAAAGGCCTTTCTAAATTATCCAGATTGATGATATTCATGAGATGTATTTGTGGAATCGCGCTCTAAGATGCCGATTCGCGCTATTGAACATGCAATGTTTTCTTTCGTTACGCACGAAGCCTTGTCACGCGACAACGGTCACGATATCAATAAATAGGGATTTCAATTTCATTTGGGTTGGTTTAAAAGCTATTAGTCTAACTGGATAACAGTTAACGTAAGCACCAAATCTACATTTAAATTGTACACACACTCAGAACAGCAACACAAAACCCATTTCAATGACACTTCCTTGTTTAGTAGTCTGTAAAGATCTGTCTGTCAAGGAAGTTGTTTTGTTTAAGCGATTGACGTAGTTTGGGCAATACTGCAAACTTTCGTGGTCTTGTTTCGCGGTTCATCAGAGAACCAGATTTCTACCATTCCTGCTGAAGTCATGACAGAGTAAACAATGCTTCTCTATTCGCTAAGCAACGGAATCTTTCAGGCCCTTAAGGCGCCCATATGGTGGAGAAATTTGTTCATCTGCGGTGTAACTGCCAAAACCAGTTCCCCTCTGCTGGCAAAGCTAAAGAAAAACGGATAATTTTTCAGTGGCTTTTAATAGCAAATTGACTGAAAATTACAATGGAAATACTGATCGAGTTCCTTGCCACATACTCTGTTTTGAACTGTACCTTGACCATTATTTCCTGAAAGTGCTTTTACTCAAGTCTGCGACTAATTTTCTTTGCCAATTTTGTTCCTTAAGAAATAATACTCGTTTTTTTATTCTCGCAAAGGAAAACTCGTTCGTGGCTCTCGTTAAGAAAAACTTGCTGGAGTACGATTTCCCTTTATCTTCCGTAATTTCCTTGACGAACATCCGGCTTTGTTAAGTTACCTGAATTTGCAAGTTCTTCTTCGACGTGGAAAATTTTTCTTCTTCAACTTTATGAGCCTGAAAAGCTCATACTTAAATCTTTTAAAAAGAAAGATGTTGTACATTATAAATTGAAAAATCATAGGGTCCAAACCTACTAGTCTCTAACTATACGTATACTTTGACTTGGAAGTTATAACCAGTGTAGCTTTTTATGGCAACACTCACGAGGTAACTGGCGATAGCAGTTAAGCTAACATTCAAGAATTTGTGCTATTTGAATTTACTCAATGGTTTAATTTTACCCACATAGTAAAAACATTATACTATCGGAACTAAACCTCATATTTAAACAAACCTTTCAAAAACGTAACTATTCGAAATAATCCCACCTCTACGAGCGATTTTTTCCATATTCGCACGTAGAAGTCCTATCCGCTTGTTTCTGCTCGTTTCCAAATGTGGGTTTCATGTGGTTTCATGTGGTTCCATGTGGTTTCAAATGTCTTTATGTTGCGCAAAGAATGGGAATGAATTACGGTACTAGAGGAAATGATGCGAGTACTTTCCCCACCCCCTGTTGGTACGCGATGGATTCGCTGCATTCAAAATGACGGAAAAGAACAGAGTGGCGATATTAGAGTTGATGAAACAGCCTTCAAATAACACATGTGCGGATTGTGGAGCTCCAAGTAAGAATTTTAAGCTAAGGTCGTCATTCTACTTCGTCAGAGGGCCCACTCTGAAAATTTATTATGAATTTTCGTTTGATTCCCTTCGAAACTTCCTGTAATGTTTTGTCGTGCAGATCCCGAATGGTCATCGGCGTCAAAAGGGCTGTTCATTTGTATCACGTGCAGTGGAATTCATCGGAATTTAGGACCTCAGCTCTCTGTGGTCAAGAGTCTGAGGCTTGATACTTGGACCGATGAAAAATTGAAGGTAAACTCGATATTAGTCGTGGTGTGTGCGACTTTCAGTGCGTCAAAGCGCTAAGATTCCTCTTAAAATCTTACAATACCCCGTGTGTTCTCAGATATCACTGCTCTAAACCATTTTCTCCGATTATTTGACTTTATTAGTAAATTATGAAAAGGCTTAATTCAATTTTTTTGTCAGGTTTAGCCATGAGTTTCTGAAATCAACACTAACACATACATAGGATTTACGCCGAAAACCTGGAAAATACTCAGTTCGAATCTTTATCAACAAGGTCACCACCTTGATTTTTTCGCTGTACTCCGCCTTAATTATCTCTGCCAGGAAAATCATCCATTGCATAAGCAGTGATGAGATATTTCAAAGAGTTTCCTATTTATTTCCTTGCTCATCTGTAATTTATCAGAAATGTTTACAATGCAAAATTAACGTGACCATTTATATTGATTACAGTTCAATTGACGTCTATAATTATCTTATTGAGTTTTCCGATATAAATATTCAATATAACAGCTATTATGAACAACAAATAAATACAAAACGGTTGTGTTCAAATTCCATATTATGACTGGCACGACAAGTCAACAGGAAACAAAGATAATCGTATAAGCTGTACTGTGACATTTGTCCTTCGGACAAATATGTAGAAAATCTAAAAAATTATACGTATCAGAATTAATCAAGATAAAGAGAAAGGCCCAGAGTTGAACGGCAAAAATATTTTTTCATTTTAACTTAGAGCTAAGTGACTTCATAGTTTAGAATTAACATACTATTTATAGGATATAATTGTAACAAAGATATTTCTAGAAATAATTTACTAATGCCTGTTTCCTGAGGATTCTACATTTGTTTATAGCTTGTTAATTGTTTGTTGTGATTCAGTATTTTTTAAGGTTTAAAAACTTTCAATCCTGTTTTATAGTTATTAATTATTATTATTTGTTTTGTATGATACACAAGAAAAATGTTGTTTATGGTGATATCATGTAGGTGTATGTCCTCTTATAGATCATAACTAAGATCCAGCTAATTACATAAAATATTACATAAATATGAAATATGAACATATTTGACATTTATCATTTTTTAACCCTATAACCCCTAAGAGTGAGTGGCATCTAATTTCTCCTTACAATATCTGGGCTGAATCAAACATAATGGTTGGGAGAATAAAGGAAATGATCACAAACTAAAGAAGCTCTTGACTTGTCAAGCAAATTCTCCTTGTCAGCACATTAGTAAATGTGTTGATAACAACATGGGGAATATCAATATTGATATTTGAAAGGAAATATATTCATATTACTGGGTCAAACTATTAGTAAGTCTACTTGTTCTAAATTTGACATTCCCCTCATGTTTTCTTTTTTGAAACCCTTAAGCTGACTGCCAATTATTTATTTGACAAATACTTTCCTATTTTTAATTCTTGAAGTAACTATATACAACCCCCCAGTTAAAAAAAATTGGAGAAATCTTCAACGGTTTGTTAATCCTCATATATCTTCAGGTGTAGGAGTAATTTATCGCTTTTCATCTGAAATTTTCAATTGACTTCCTGGTGTCACCTAGTCTCCTTTTCAGTCATTCATTCTTTGGATGTCACACAATTCTTGTGGAGGGAACATTGCATGACATCCAAAGAATGGCTCCATAGGAGACTAGGTATCACCAGGTAGGCATTTATTGTAACAAAGCAAGTCTGCAGACTGATACTAAAACCAAAAATAACAACCAAACAACCAAACAACATGCCCAAAAAATTTTAACTGTAATTTAGTATTTTATATGTAAGGAAATCACCACAACGGATTTAAGTGGAGTGAAAAAGACCTTAGAATTTTGCAACACAGTGACTGCCAACTGTTGTCTAAACCTTTAACTCCCAAGATCTCATTATTAATTCTCTTTACTGTCTGCCAAATGATTCTCATCATGTTAGTCTGGAGAATTTGGTATTGGACTAATTAGTAATCCCATAATTGATATTTTTCTTCATTCTCATCACTTGTCTTCATGATATAGTATAAATATAGTAAGGAGAAATTCTGTCTTGGTCACTCATGGGGGTTAAAGGGTTAACTAAGACAGTTTGGAAAATAAGATAAAAGGGAGCAGATTTAATAATTCAATAATGACATAATAGTAATTGAACAACCAGGCAATTTAAATGTGTTAGCTTGTTATCGAGTATACAGCAGATCAGAAAATATTTTAATTATTTTCTTATACATTTATTGATGCATGTCTTTCAGATCAACTTTTTATGTACTGACATTTTTTAAGTTAACAATATTCTGTTTACAAATAATTATAAATATTATCAGTCAGAGCACCAGTAATGTTTCAATAACGATCAAGCAGTCTTGGAATCTCGTTGATATTTGTCTGACATTGTATTGTATTGTAAAACTGAGTGGAGAGAGATATTGTAAAGCAGGTAAATAAACTGTGGACCAGACACCCTTGCTACAAAGTCCAACAATTTCTTATAATAATCTTTTTTTCTTGCTCCTGTTTTTTTCTTTTCTTCTTCTTAGTTTATGGAAGAGCATGGTAATGCTAAGGGGAATGCTGTATGGGCCAAGAATGTCCCTCTTTGCTATCGGCGACCAAAGCCATCAGATGCACAGTAAGTACAATTTTTAATCAATGGTTTAGAATTACACACTTTTTTATTGTCAATACTTGGGGCTACATATACTACAGTGAGTGAACAGATAATTGTTTAAGATTTTCAAATTGTTAACTCTTAACTCCCAGAAGTGATGAACGTGTAACTTCCTCCTATAATATCCCCATATTATTGAGCAAACAGGCAATGAGAACACTCAAACTTATCAGGTAGAAGCTGCTATCTTGATCTAGCATCAAGTTCTCATAACTAATTTACAAGGAAATGTGTAGCAGCTAGAGGAGAGAATTAACAATCAAATATTGGGAATTTATGTGTTAAACCTGAAGGGTCTTCCTGTAAGAAGGATATTTGCAACTTGAGGTGCCTTACTAGTACTTTTGCATTCAATAAAAGTGTGTTGATAACTGTGAACAGCTCAATTCTGTTGTAGGAGTCTATTTGTGTTTTATGCTTTATGTAACATTGCTTTTTCAACTTGAATTTTTTTGTTAACTTCAAAAGAAAATGCCAAGCAGCATGGTTTATTTGTTCTTAATTTATACCTGATATGGCATAGAAAATTTTGAAATGATTTCCCATCTTTTTCCTCTCCTCATTCATTTTCCTTTTTTTAATTTTGTGAAAATCATAGTGTGCTCAGGGAGCAGTGGATAAGAGCAAAATATGAACGAACAGAGTTTATTGATGGTGCACCAGAGCCAAGTTATTTAACAGGTACAGTGAGAGGCTAGCTTTGGAAAACCCTGTAAATCAATCTGTCTGTGAGTGTGTACAAATAACTTGTACACTGGTGCACTCTCTTTTGTTGTGCTAGTAATTTTTTCTTTGGTTTGTAAATTAAATGAACTTTTTCTTCTCCTACTGATTTTGATTTTCAAAATTGATAATTCATGTTTACTAATTGATTTATTGTAATTTATGTTTCCAGGCTCATTGAGAGGATATTTAAGAAAAAAAGGAAAAGAAGATAACAGTTGGAACCTAAGACTTTTTGTTCTATCTGCAGCGGACAACTCACTTGCTTACTACATTAGAGATCAGGTATATAAGTTGTCATGCTTGGATATGGGAAAAATTGGGCAAGAAGTTCTATTGCCTCTAAAACATGATATCTTTATCATAATTTATGGAAAGAGATACTCTGACCAACATGTGACAATAACATTGTTGTCTTGGAATGTAGCTAAATGAAATTATGTAATTAACCCTTTAACTCCCAAGATCTGATTGTTAATTCTCCCCTGTAGCTGCTACACGTTTCCTTGTAAATTAGTTATGAGAACTTGGTGCTAGATAGCAGATAGCAGCTTCTACCTGATAAGTTTGAATATTCTCATTACCTGTTTGCTGAAGAATGTATAGGTATTGTAGGGAGAAGTTTTATGTTGATCACTTCTGGGAGTTAAAGGGTTAAACTACTTTATGAGTTCATATGTGATTATGTTGTCACTCTAAATTTGTTTTAAGGATAGGGAACCAAAAAGTAATTTGAAAATCACTGAGATTAACGTCACCTTCGCGGAAGAAAGAACAAACAAGGAAAATAGTCTTCAGATAACATATGTTACAAAAGGACGAACAAGGAATTACTTTGTGTACTCTGAAAATGGCCAGGTATGTTTTGTAAAACATAAGTTTATTTCCATTATTTAAAACTTATAATGACAGGGTTTGTATGCATCCTGACCAAGAAAGTCCTGTAATTTCATTCTGACATTTTCCAGGACTGGAAAGTCCTGGACAAAGACTACATGTCCTGGAAAGTCATGGAAATCTGCTCAACTCAAGCAGTAAAGCTTTTAGAATTTACATTATTTAAGAAATGTATGTAGACAGTAAGAAGAATTGATTTTGAAATCTTGGAAATGAATGGGTTTAAGATGAAATTTGGAGTCCTGGAAAAATTGATCTGTGTCATAGAAAAAGTCTTTGAAATTTGTTTCTGAAAAAGGGTACAAACCTTGTGATTATAGAGCAATAGAAAGCAGTATTAAATTTAAGAGGTTGAGATGATGCAGGTCAGCACTGTGGAGAGTAAGTGGGGAGAGGGTGGTAATTAAATTTGGGGGTGTGGTAATTGAGCAAAAAGATAAGGAGTATTGGCATAATGTTCTTTTTTACTTCAATAATTATTTTTAATTTTCTAGGAGGTTGTTCAATGGTACATGGCAATTAGGAAAGCAAAACTTGATTTATTAGGATACAATGAATCTGATGTTGACCAAGAAAAGGTAAGGTAACCAACTAGCTAAGGTTTTCAAAAACCCTTCATACACCTATAATTTATAATAATATACTGACAGTAATACTTTATTTATATTACGCTGTTTCTATTGCTATCCAATAGCATTTTAAAATTTCTCAAATAAACATAAAGTGCTTGAAAATCCCAACTGGCAGGAGACAGACCAGTTGGCTATTTACACAGTGCAGCTGAAGAGTTGAACTTGTGGCGACAGAAAGCAAATCCAGTGAGGGGCAGGGTGGAGGACCACTAAATTACAAGTCTAGCGCCCTAACCGCGCAGCCATGCCACCTCCTCTTCTGACTCTAAGGCTGACAATTTTGTCACCATAGTCACTACTATTAAGAAGCCAAGAAGGAACGAACCAAAAACTCTTGGTTGATGAAACATAGTTGCGATAAAAGATGAACAGTTTTTTTGTGATAATTTGACCATTGTGGAACCTGTAAAGGAATCTGATTACAAATTAAATATTTGAAGTAAATCCTATTTGAACCTATGGATTGAATAATAACTGTCATTTCTCTCATTTCTGTTTTGTTCTTTAGTTAGAGAACGAACTCACCAGGGACTTCATTATGCAAGGATTTTTGTTTAAGAGAGGACCAAGGGTAAGAGTGGAGCGAGTCATTAAATTTTGGGATTAATATCAGTATCTGGGCAACTGCCCACCTACCCCTCCCCTAACCCAACATTAACCCTAACTTGTTATCAATTGACTGTTGTTGGGTTGGGGGGAGGGGTAGGTGGGCAGTTGCCCAGATGCTGATATCGATCCAAATTTTATTTGTAACGTCTTATAAAAAATGATCGATTTAGGTGAGATTGAGTTCGGTATTATGTCGAAGTTAATTCGCCAACAAATTACGCATCATTTTGCTCCAAATCGAAAGTCGATTCGCCACAAACGCAAGTCATTTTGCTCAAGGAATAAACAGCGAAATGACCGTAAACGTTCACGACCGCCGGAGCTTATTACACCTAAATGGATGCCAAATGAATCCGTTTAAAATTTTTTTTCGTTATGTTACATTCGACTAGGATGAACCGTGGAAGAAAAGGTGGTTTTCGCTTGATGGCAGAAGACTTCTGTACTTCGAAGAACCAATGGTACGTATAACCAGTAGTACATGATAAGAGTACGTGTCCAGGTATCCGGTGAGGTTTCCAAGTATCTGGTGAGGTTTCCAAATGAGTGGCAAGTAATCCGGGATTGCATTGTTGTGTTTAACATAGGATTGCTTTACAGCAAACTGTACTTTGTGTAGAAGACTAGCGCCACTACCTCAGCCAATCAGATGCAAAGCTAGTAGATTCTATGCGATCTACTTGATAACTTGCGTTTTCTCAAATTTCATTACCGTTTGTTTGCCTGTATTTACTCTGAGTTCTGATTGGTTAACAAGACAATTGCATTTGCTCTGATTGGCTGGTTAAAGTCTTCGAAACTAAGTCATAAAATTTTTCTTGATTCCATCCATGAGGCATATTTCCTTCGCGTGGTTTATCATGTTTCTCTTAAAAGTTTTTCACATCACGTCCTTTGAAGGATTTTTCGTCCCTTCCAACGTTGACCAAACTGGGCTTTCTTTATCGCCCGGTCGGAGGATTTACCATATCCTCCCTATGAGGTTCTGTGATATTCTGGTGATTCCGCCCACATTGGCAGTTGATTGGCAGTTGATTGGCAGTCAATGTTTTATAATCCCCCTTCATACTATGTTGGCGGCGAGTGATCCTCTCCGTTCCCACTAAAAATCACGTGATCCCCCACAAAGGCCTCCAATCCCCCTCCCCCCCGACCCCAGGCGAGTAATAATGACTTTTCCCTCAACTAAATAGTGACTTTTTGAACAGGACGCTTTGACCAAAGGCGAGTTGATTATCGGCTCCAACACTGAAGGCTTTGCCCTCCAAGAGGGAGTCAAGTCAGGAAAGCATCAGGACGAGGACTACTGCTTCACTCTTACAACTCCTAAACGGGATTTTGTTATGATGGCGAATACAGAAAATGAAAGAAGAATGTGGATGGACTGTTTATCAAAAGTCATTTCGCAACCCATGACGGATGAAGACAAAGAAGGTTGGAGTAATTTTCTTGTATTTTGCGATAGATCGAGTAAGGTAGCAGGGAGCTCAAAGACTTCGATTTTATATGGTGTAATTTCCCTAAGAAGACATTAGCACGCTAACAAACGGATATGTTTTAGGTTGGTTCCTCTGCCCTGTATCAAGACACATTTTTAGAAACATCAAACGAATATTACTCAGATCGTGGAAGAAAAAAAAAATTTTTGTCTGATTTATTTATTTTCTCAGGAAGTTTACAGGCAAGACTTTGACTTGATTTTGTTGACACTATTTTCAAACGTGTTGAATCCGGGTTATTCAGTACATGTCTCCCTCTACAGGTTTTCAAGAACAGAATGCTGTAATTGGACAACCTCATAAAACGCGTGCTAATTACTAATTAATCTCCTCACCCCCTCTGAGGTTGCTATCAGGCCCCTTCCTGTAGACTATACTGACAACTTTAATCATACACTCACGTCATCTAATTTTTAGAAATGAAAACCACGCTCAAAGCAATGAAAGATTCCAAGAAAAAGAGCTTCAGTAGACTGCGAAGCCTGTCAATGTCCAAAAATCAGGATGAGGATTCGCCTTAAGCAGGCTGTTAAGTGTAGAAGCAGGTAGTAAAAGCAGTGTAGTGGCAGGTTCCAAGACTACATTTATAGGAAAATTATCTACTTATAAGGGTGATCAGCTGTTTTTTATATCAGTGCCATAGATTAACCAGGATGGCGTCTGTGGTTTAGGTTAATGTTTAAAAAAAAAAACAAAACAAAACAAGAAAAAAAGGAAAATTGAGAATTGTCTAACATTGTCTCCAGGGTCCCTCTTTTTTCCATTTCCCTGCCCCCTCTGAGGTTGCTATCAGGCTCCTTTCTATAGACTATACAGACAACATTAATCATACACTCACGTCGTCTAATTTTAGAAATGAAAATCACCCTCAAAGCAATGAGAGATTCCAAGAAAAGGAACTTCGTTGGACTGCGAAGGCTGTCATTGTCCAAAAATCATGATGAGGATTCGCCTTAAACAGGCTGTTGGACTTGAAACTACTTTAATAAGCAGTGTAGTGGCAGGTTCCAAGACTACATTTATATGAAAATTATGTACCTATTAATGGAGATCAGCGGTTTTTTATATCAGTGCCATAGGTTAACCAGGGTGGCATCTGGCCAATCACAATCCAATAAAAACAAATCAGCTTAAACCAGACAGAAATCGCGGCTAAAACGTGTAACCGGCATTGAGAACGGAAAAAAGCACCAAGAAAAAGCGCCTAGCAAAAAAAAAAACAGTTCGTAAAAATAATCATATACGTACCGCGAAATCGAATAATTTATTTGACACTGAATAGAAAACCTCTCTCGCAGATAAATTAATATAGGGGGATTTTGAAGGAAGCGAAAGGGCGCAGTTATTCGAAAAAAGAAGAATGTGATATTTTTATTTTTGGCTAAATTAGGCATTTATTTAGGCTATATTTTTTCATAAGGAAGAGTCCTGTTAATGTTCTCAGTTTCTCGGTATCCATAATCATTGCTTGTATATTGAGTATGCGTCATTTTTGAATTAGGAGTATTTTGCAAAAACTGCATTTGCTTGAAAACCATTAAAGAGTATTAATGGTTAATAGCTTACAGATCATGATCATAATACTTGTAGATGCATTTACATTATTATTCGTGAGCTAGAATTCGTTATTCTGAGGATAAGCGTCAGCAATGTAACGCAAGTGTTATTTTGATGGCTGCGCAAGGACTCATTCCCAGCGGTGTTTGTGATGTGAGCCCGTGGTTAGACGAGTTTCAGCTATTTTACACACTTACTGTAGAAATCACAGCGGTCAAAAGTCTGCGCTATTGCGAACGTTTAGACTGCTAATACGCAGTTAAAATTTCGGCTCAGCTTGGTGGTTTCAGGCAGCTAATAATTAATTTTTTTGGTAGAGTTCAGACAAGGTGGTAACCGACAGAAAACCCTTGATAAGATGTACTCTGTGTTCAAGAAGACGTAAGGTTTCCTTCCCCCAAATTCGCTACTGCAGTTTCCTTTCACAGATTCGAACATTTCAGGTATTTTTTTGCTTGGAACATGTGGATTTTTCTGTTTTCCCTTAAAATTTTGCGCAGGAAATGAGCGCACGGCTGGCTACAATTTATTCATTGCGCATGCAGAACGTTTGACCGCTGTGTTGCTGTATGATTCCATGGGCTCGATAAACAGCCGCTAGTCGGGAATGAGCCCTGGCTCCTTCCCTTAAGACTGAACTATAGGCGAAGATCAACTCTGTTCTTAAACACACATGCTCTATTTTAGTTTTTGATATCCAGATAACAGTGTAAATATTATTTTTCATTTATGCTTGGTGTTGAATAAAATTCTTGCAATTGAACAAATGCGAAGGGATCGCATCGCTATATGGATCAGTTTGATACTCAACTTATATTACTAAGTATAATTCTCTAATGATATTAATAGGATAAAAGAAATTGAATTAGATTATCAGTAGCAAAGTGCTGTGCACTCTTTAGTATATTCTTGATTGTAATAATAAGTATTCTTTATATAAGATAAATTTATATAAAACTTACCTGTACTTACTTATCAAGCAGTTTGTAAAGAATAAAACTAATCAGCTGTTGGCTCTTTGTTGTATTTCCGCGACTCTGATTGGTTATTGTGGATTTGGTATTACAACGCACGGCATGTTAAAAATATGATTTTTTTCCCGGTCGGGGGAAGGGGGAAGGGTTGAAACTCTTCTTCATATGGCACAACTGGGTATGGTTTTGAACAGGGTTTCTTTATGTACAGTAAGCTTTGAGCAGATTGTTGGATTGGCGTTACCCACTTTTGAGTGAAAGAACTAGAAGGATGATATTCGCCCTGACGAAGGGCTGACGCTTCAAACGTCGGCTTTGTAACTCCTTACGGTGGCCAATTTACATTATCAAACTAAATTATCATATCGAGCAGTAGTCAGCTGGATTGGATTCAGAGCATGGAGTGTGACATCCCAACCTCACTTTACATCAAAAGATCCGTAATCAGGAATTAACAATCTCAGAAAAAATATCCACAGCCCCATAGTCCTTCCGTATACTATACAAAGCGAGCAATTTACTTACTTACAGGGGAGGGGAAAGTTTCACCATCCTCGTTCCCATTCTCTACGCTTCATAAACCCATTCGAAACTCGTGTAACAACAGTGCAGTTTTCCAAAGAGGATTGTGTTGGAACACAGCTCAGTTTTCTACAAGGTAAATTCCTCACTTTTGAAATGATTGGATTTTTTATCGATGATTTTTCTGTACCTCAAACTTAAGGCTCTTCGTTCAACATTAGGTCTGTAAACTTGCTTGTGACTCTCAGCACGTGTCCTCTTCCACGCCGCATCTAAAGCTTTTCATTTCTGTCATTACAAAATCTCGCTTTCTTATTACTTACTTGCCGTAAGAAAATTTCGGAAAAAAAAATTGAACGTTAAGGATATTGCCTTTAACAACTGCAAAGGAAGGAATGGTCACGGGTTACTTCATTTGTTGTCAGTGATAATAAGTTCATGTTGTCGATTAAATGTACTAGTCGTACTACTCCAGTGGCCTATTTCCTTATCAAATCATACCCAGGACTCTGTTGTATGAAGCGACTAGGATTACCGTTACTCCCTTAGGATGCGATGCTACCCTGAATTGGTATTGAATGAATGCTCTGCCTCAGTGAAACCCCATTCCCCTTAACAAACCCTCCTTTGTAATAAGCCTCCCCTCTCTCCTTGTCAATAGTCCCCCCTCTGATTAGACCCCTCTACAAGAGGTTCTCAGAGGGGTGATACCTTTTACTGTTAATGGTTAAAATTTTGGCCATTTTACCCTCAATGATTAACTTCCTTCTTTTGTGATTAAAAGAAAAGTTTTTCGATGGCTGATTTTTTTGGTCATTTTACATCTAACAATTAACCCCATTGAGACCCTCCTTCAACTGCATTCCATTTGATGGCTCTAGAAGTTAAAAACCTACACGGGGTTATAAGAGCAAACATGATAACCCCTCAGAGCTTCATCATGTCTTCAGGAAAGTTGGCTGGTTCCAATTCATACACCTTGAGGGAAGGAGAAACTGTGAGAGTGAACTGAAAAAAAAAAATAAATGCCCTATGTAGATATTGTCCAAGGTATAATCTACAGACAGCTGTTTGCCATTGGTGTGTCAGTTCAAAAAAAGAGTAAATTTAAGATCATAAACACATATCCCTTGATTTAAGTTAGAGGCTAATCTGGTACACTCCAGAGGAAAAATGTGTGCTATCCTCCCACTAATAGTACAGGTAACCCAAAAGAAAGGACAGGGTGGGATGGGAAACTTTCAATGGACTATCATCCCATCAGGGGAGGGGGAATAGCTTTCTTCTTAGTTGCTTTAGTTTTGAAAAATAAATAAGCTCTGGTAACTAGATATGAAAAAGCTGGGCTTGTGAGACTCTACCTTTTACATGTATCTAGCCACTATCTACAAACTCTTTGAGTTTCTTGTGCAATAACATGCTCTCTGGGTTTGAGTTTGCTATATTTGACCTGTCACAAAGATGAAAGATTGTTATACTTTTTCTGTTGTAGGGGTGGCAATCTCATGAGTGAACTGGCCATAAAAGCTGAAGGCAGGTGTCTAGAGGAAGATGAAGACAAACCAGGAGAGAGAGAGGAGAAGAAGCTTAAGAAAAAGAAGAGGAAATTGAAAGGGGAAGACCAAATATTGGAAATGAAAACTGAAGGTGAAGTTTCGAAGAAGGAATCAAAAAATAATTTAAAGGAAGATAAAGCTGAAGAAAGAAATGATGGGAAAAAAAAGAAAAAGAAGAAGAAATCAAAAGAGGATGAGGAAATCTCTGAAACAGAAATTGAAGGAGAAGGCTCAAAGACAGAGTTGAAATGCAATTTAGAGGAAAGCAAAGAGGAAGAAATAGAAAAGAGAAAATACAAGGAAAAGAAGAGGAAATCAAAAGAGAAGGAAAAAGTCTCAGATGAGGAGTCAAAAGACCATATAACTGAGAAAGAGAAAAGTAAAGAAATGAAAGAGAGAAAAAGCAAGGAAAAGAAAAAGAAAGCTAACGGGGAGGAGAAAGTCTCCAAAGTAAGAGCTGAAAGCGAGGTCTTGAATGCAGTGTTGATAGGTAACTCAGAGGAAGATAAAGGTGAAGAAAGAGAAGAGAGAAGACACAAGGAAAAGAAGAAAAAATTAAAAGGAGAAGGGAATAGCTCAGAAATTAAAGCTGAAAGCAAAGTCTTAGATTCAGTGTCAAAACACATTAAAGAAGATGATGAAACTGATGAAAAGGAAGAGGGAAACCATGAGAGAAAGAAAAAGACATCAAAAGGAGAAGAAGAAATCTCAGAAACAAAAGTTGATTGCAAAATCTCAGTTGAAGAGTCAAAACACCTTTTAGACAGGGGTGATAAAGCTGAAGAAATGGAAGAAGGAAAAAACAAGAAAAAGAAGAAGTTGAAATCAAAAGAGAAAGTGGGAATTTCTGAGACAAAATTTGCAAGTGAAGGCTCAAAAGCAGGGTCAAAAGGCAACATAGAGGAGGATAACACTGAAGAAAGAAAAAAACCCAAGCGAAAAAAGGAGAAATTAGTGGCAGTAGAAATGGATCTCGAAAAGGAAGAATCAAAACTAGATACCAATGATGTGGATATTGAGAGAAAGTTGAAACGCGATCGAAAGAAAAAGAAGAAAGAAAATGAAGCTAAAGAAACTTCAGACATGGAGGACATGGATGAGGAATCTAGAAGCAATACGAAAAAAAGGACAATCAATGATGTTGAAGTTAAGGAGGGAAGACACAAGGCTAAGAAAAAGAAGGCAGAGAAGGAAGAAAGAGAACAAGACTGTAAAACTAAAGTGGAAGGAAAGGCCAAACAAAACCATTCAGATGAGGAAACTGTTGGACAAGAATTAGATTTAGAGGAAAAGAAAAAAAAAAAGAAAAAGGCCAAATGTGAAGAAAACGATGACCCTTCTGAAACTAACCAAGGAAATGGAAAAGAAATTGGAAAATCAGATGAAAAATCTTCATCACAGGTAAATCACATTAAGACAATGTTTCAGGTTAAAAACAAAAAGCAAGGGAAGTTCTTTGAGATGAAATATCATGTTTGAGAAACATTACCTTGTATGTTGTCTTCAAAGGATGACTGGGCCTTAATATGAGAGAAAGGCCTGGGGAGACCAAAAGTGTGGCATTTTGCTTGCAAAGGAAATTGAGGGAGGGTGAGGTGGAAGGTTCAGAGAGATTCACAGTTGGTGAATAGCCACTGTAAATGAAATGGAGAATTAACTTCTCAGCAATAATCAATGTAACCCTGCAAGATAAGCCCTAAGATAAGATTGCATGGCAAGATTTTTTATCCATTACAGGTCAATTCTTACAACTGAAGCCGAAAGCTTCCTATACCATAAAACATCAAATTAGTTTTTTGTTTTTTTGTTCTTCGACAGCTTGGCCAGTGGGGTAGGACTGAGTTTGGAAGTGATGAACGGAGGGACAAATTTCTCCGCTTGATGGGTGCCTACAAGAATAAACCCTCAACGGAGCCATCTGGAACTACTCTAAGCTCAAAGTCTAGTCGCCATTGCATGACTAAAGTTACTGAAGATTCCCTTACCAAGGGACTGGAACAGCAGTATGAGTCTGCCATGAATTTCAGCAGGAATCGGAGGGGACTGGGGCTTGGTTATAACCCGGATGAGGACCCAAGTAACAAATTATTCTATATTGACAAAACTGCTTCTAAATCAGTCAAGTTAAATTAGTAGGGCTTTGAAAAAGGTAATTTCAGGGATGGATTTCTATCAGCTAGGAATAAAATATAATTTTTGTAGTCAAGAGTGATATGCAAACTCTGTTTCAAATAAAACTATGTATCAACTAAATTGTCCACTTTACTCTACAAATTTGGTCACCAAAGTTTTTTACTAGTCACTATGGTTACCAAAGGTTGAAGCACTACACTTTTTTGCCTTCTGTACAGCTCACCACTCAATATGCTTTCTATATACCCAAGCAAATGGCCATTGTCATCAAGCATTAAAATTTTTAATCTCTAACAAACATATAACAGAAAGACACCAATGAGATCAAAATATTTCCTTTCATCTATAATACTCTTTGTGAAGGTAAATCGTTTTTTATGTAGTTGATATACATATCATTTAAGATACGTTGTTATTCAACTTTTTCGGTGGCGAAAACGTGACATTAAGGCGCAGTCTTTCGATTCAGACATGTGCACAATTCTGTGTCAATATTAGCTTATACTTTATTGATTGATTATTGCTGCTGCTCTATGATTTCATGGATCAAACGTAAAACTGTGACGTGGGCGTTTCACAGCAGGCATTTTAACTTAATTGGTGACTCGTGGATACACTTATCGCGAATGATCGAGGTTTATAATTCTTATTCAGTCAGTTACCTTTTTATAGCATGTAGGAGCGTAATGAGCAATATCCATTGTTCATTTGTCGTTAAAATACTTTTTCAGCGCGAAATTAGTTAAGTTTCGCACCTATTATTTTCAACATTCTGGTGATGCATTTGGGATTTAAAATTACTGTCGACAATTTCTCAAAAAAATCGATATCTCCTGTTCTACTGGGCCTAACAAGTCCCTTGGATTCTCTTTAGCTCAAGCTAGTGAAAACTGGAAATTTGTTACTGATGCGCCGGATTCTTGGATTATTTTTGTCACCATCAAGGTTTTGTTTTCACGCGTGCCGATAAAAATTTGTTTGATTATGCGTGAAGTTGGCATCATGTTTTCGTGCCGCTTTGTGGCACTTTTTTAATTTTGGAAACGCAGGTAGGTGAGAAATTTTTTCAATTCAACTTCCAGAAGAATTTAAAATTGTCACATAACCCGCACCTCCCTATTACCCGCAGTGGCGCGGATTTAATGCAAAATCAACAGATTACCCGCGGGTAATCGACCGGAAATTACGGTATGTCTGGATACAATGTTTTTGCTTGCCTTACTGATCTTGATCTCTGCACACATTAACTTTGGGCAAATCTACACAGCTTCATGTGGATCGCCCAAGAAAGATTCAATTCAAGGCAAAATGACTGAATTTTTAATTTCCGCTTTTTTCTTTTTTCATCACTGTCAGTGAACAACCACACTGACTTAAACACCATTAATCATCTGTTCTGTGACCTCACATTTGAGAAAGTAAACTTTGTGACACCAGCCTCAAATAAACCATAAGTGCATCTCTCTGGTTACAGACAACCATTCTTTCTGTCATATTCTTATTTCCCAATACATCTTGTATGATCATCTTAAAAGGTCAGTGCGGACCATAATTGTCTGTGAAAAAAAAGACATCCTGCTTTAGGGTAATGTACCTGAGGTGTCCACACCCCTTCTCTAATGTTTCACACGATTTCTTCCTTTTCTTGAAGACGTTGTTTCCGTATCATCCTGTAGGCCATGATGGCATGTTCTCTCTCCTTGTCAGCTTTTTCTTGCTCAAGAGCTGACATGTGCTTACGTTTTTTGGTTTTGGGAATCCCAGAATTATCTGGAGTCCTATTCTGCACATTTGTGTCTTTTGTATTCTGTGGGATTAGTGAGTGCAACAACAGCGCCTTTGATCCCTAGGACAGAAAACAATCAAATAAATGCAAGGTTCAGTGATGACCAAAGATAGAAGAAAATGCAATGGTCTCCATGTTCACGATAATTTTTTTTAAGGACATGCAACAAAGAATCAACTGCAAAACAGAATAGTGCACAATTATTTGCCAAATGCAAAGTGAATATTGTTGAAAATTGTTGAGAGGATTATCCAACAATAATCACTTTGCCTTTGGCAAGTAATCGTTAAATGTAAAGGGAATAAATTCCATATTACATGAGAATTCTGTTTTGTCAACTGAGTTTTGTAAATTGGCCCCAGTAAAGAGTTTCTAAAGTTGATGTTCCAAGTAAGCATTCTCTCTTGGCGAGAGCAAGATATGTACTAGTCCATACTAGTGTGAACTTCATGTAAAGTCCCATTATAGCAAATATCAAAAAGCTGATAATTTGTGAGTTAACCCCTTGTCAATGTGAAATTAGACAAAACTGGACAACAATGAGAATAACTATGAAGGCTCTAGACTTGACTCAATGAGACCAAACCAGAGGAGTCCAGATTAGATATGAGTACACTAGGCCAGAGAAGACCAAACAGTGTAGGACTAAAAGAGCTTTGACATGGCTATAATAGACCAGATTAGCTGAGACTACACTAGCTACGAGTCCCCTAGACTAGGCTAGCCTAGACTAAACTAGAATAATCAAGCCTAAACTGGACAGGACTAGTACCCATACACACCTTGTTTGCTTCTGCAGCTTTTCTTGGCTTTGCTGTTATGGAAGGAGGCTGCATAACAACATCTCCAAACCGTACATTATCTGAAAACAAAGCAATGATAAATCAAACAAGCAGGCATTACCCTGAGTCCTCAGCACAGGTGTTAATTGCATGGTATGGATTGTTACCAGTCTCTCAAACCCAATCTTTGTTTCTTCATTTCTCTCGGGGAAATACAGGCTCTGACTCTATTCCAAAAGAGTGGCAGTTTATCAGGCCAAGCTTTTACAAAACAAAGCTTTATTTAACTCTTTAACTCCCAATATTTTATTATTAACTCTCCCCTCAAGCTGATACACACTTGCTTGTCAATTAGTTACAAGAATTTGGTGCTAGATCAAGATAACAACTTCTACCTGATAAGTTTGATTATTGTCATCACCTGTTTGCCAGATAATGTATGGATATTACTTAAAGGAAGAATCAAAAGATTGATGAAACTGGTTGCATAGGCATACAGGCCAGGGGGCTGCAGCCTTTGGGTGAGGTGAAATATTACCATCTGAATGACACCTTACATTTGTATGCTTCATAGGCATGATGAGAATAACTGTAAAGGTTTTTTTAGAAGTTGTCAGTCTGCCCTGTTAGACTCTTTTTGCAGTCTGAGTTAATCTTAATGCAACTGGATTTAACAAGGTTTCCCATTTAAATCTCTATGTTCTTTAACAACTGAGTATTCCCCTTTAAGTACAGCAGGGCAAAAAGGTCCTTGTGGGTTTGTCAGCATGTAAAATATACCTTTTGTGAGGTCAAAGCTGGCATTTTCCTGTGACAACCTTTTCTTTTCTTTCATCTTTTCCTTTCTGTCTTTGAGATGCCTAAAATGCCAAAAGAAAACAGGAATCAAACCAAAAAAGAGTTCCAAATTTTTTAGATTGAAACTAAAAAAGTTTAAATGAGTCTTTTGACTACTGTTAAAATTTAAGGTAAAAAATTCAAGTGGAAATCATCATAAGGGTGACTGAGGGATAATGCAATGAGGTTTATCCCTAGGACTATTTAAAATTCAAGAAGTCAAATCATTGATTTGAAAAAAGCTTCATAGAGTTACTAGACAGTGTAACTACATGCTGAAAACCAAGATTATTACAGACAAGAAAAATATGGGAAATGTCATACAGTCATGTAAGTCATTTGGTACTGAATTGAAATATGACTTGCTTGGGGCTTTTAACAACAAGATAATTTGATTTGAGCCCAGCATCATTTATAAACCCGCAAGCAGCATGATCATGGTGCACCCATCTTTTTAACCAGTCGCAATTCTATCTTTTGGAATTTAAACCCTTATAAAACATAATGCACACTTGCATAAGAAAGGGAAAATGACCTACTTTTTTCTTGCATCTCTCATCTTCCTTGATGCTTTCAAAGCCTCTGCAACCTCTTGAGTGGCCTCTTGGTCAATCCTATTAAAGTACTCTTTCTTGCTTTCTCCAGGTATTCTTTGAAACTTTTTCATTTCTGATTGGGCTAAAAGATATTAAGGGCAATACACATGTAAAGTTAAGTAGTAAAGAAAACTGTACTTTTGAGCTCAGTCAATGACTGAAAAAAGATTAATTGGTGACTTAAACAACACAAGTAACCCTTTAAACCCTAAGGGCCAGTTATTCACATGAGATCTAACCCAAACCACACTTTTACCCACGAAGTGGGCCTAATGTATTCTCTACATCAAGGTTGTTTTCATTATGTAAATGTCCTTGTACTGCTAGATTTCAGCCTTCTTGACTCTGTTCACAAAAATGAATGTTAAGATAAAAGATTTAGCTAAATTCAAGAAAGTTTAGAAAGCTGTTTTGTTAAACAACAGCTAAATTTTGTCTAAATAACTGGCCCCCAAAGTGACAAGCACCTTATTTCTCCCTACAGTAATACTGCTGAATCATTCCTTAAATAAGGTCATGAAAGGAAAGGTAATGATCACCGACCTACAATGAGAAGAAGCTTTGATCGTTACATGAATTCTCCTTTTCAATACCAAAGGAAATGTATAGAGAAGAGTATAGGGAACATGGAAACTGATGTTAGGGTGCAAAGGGTTAAGATTAAAAATTTGTAAACATTGATCTATCCCAGGGCTGTTGATAAGTTTGAAAGTAGAAAGTAGGCAAACAATAACAAGTGCATGGCTGGATTAATATAGACCCCATGTAATTTGTCAAATAACATGCCAAGACTGGAAACTATACAGTTATTATATCCCTTGGTTTTCACAACATTTGTGGGAAACTTAAAGCAAATTCTAAACCTAAAATCAAGCTACATACCCTACATGCTAGATATGAGGCAAACTTGTCTTATACCATTCAATGGTATGATAACAAAGAGCTTCCTGAATTTGCCTTGCTCCCATCATATGGCTCAATGGCTCATTTTGTAGTAGTGCCCAACTAATATCTAGGAGGCTTGCATACTGTGGAAGAAATAATTTTTTCAGGCTTTTAAGTTATATGCCCTTTTCTGTTCATCTTCCCTGAATAAGGCCCTGAAATATGATACTTTCTACTATAATCTGATCCTTGAATGCCACCTGTACTAGGTAGTGACAGTATGTACCTCACATTTACCTGTTTTCTTTTGCTTTCTTACAGTTCTCTTCTTTACAGCCGTTTTCTTCATTACTAGCTGTCTTTTCATGAGATCCTTTGCAGCTCTTGGCATTCCTTGTTCACCAAGTTTTTCTTTCTTTGCCAGCGACTTAGCACTACGGAAATATTAATGTGCCATTCAAATCGAAATCAATTGTGTAGTTCTGTTTATATCCCAGCCAAAGCGATTATTAACAATAAAATACTCCTTATACTGAACTAATTTACCAATCCTATACGTAATAAGAATAGTCATAAGAAAATAAGTTTCATAGATCTTCAAAGAGTTCCAAATGATTTAAATATTACACGTAACTTTAAGTATTATATCAATATGGTGTAAGTGCGTTAGAGCCATGAGCACATTTGTATCACGCACTCCTCGAGATCGCTCACCTGGTTGCTTTGCTTTCCTTCTTCGGTCCTTTATAAAATGGGTCACACGATTTTATCTTCTTATATCTACTCATTCGACCCATTATGCAGAGAAAATGAAATAGATCGGTTTGCAAAATTTTACCACACAACCTGTTTAATTTCAGCGGCCATATTTGTCATCTGGATGAAAAGTACTGGGAATTAGTCAGCGGTTTGCTCATTTGAATTAATTACTTCATGTAAACCTACTTAACGGTGGGCAAAAAAATAACAACAACCGTGATGGCGACGTAGAACCTATAAAGTAAGGTGAGCGCTCTGTTGTGGAAGAATCTCCTTTGGGATTTCAGTTGAGTGTTATAGGATATATTTCCCAGAATTTACCTTGTGGATGTTCAGAGCTGTTCGTTGCACGTGGCAGGGAAACAAGCTGTTAAATCTGTCAAATGTAAGTGCGAAACGCTGGAAAGGATGTAGCACTGAGACTAGCTTATATTTAGCTACTATTGAAACATGAGGGTACTTTTGAGAAAAAGCCTCCACCCTGAAAATATTTCGGAAAAGATTGCAAATGCTGGAATTACAAGTTTTTTTTCTAAAGGTGATCGAATATATTTCTCAAAGAGAGCTGAATAATGCCTGCCTCACAGTGACAGACGAATTTAAACTTGCTGCTTTTTACGCTTTTTCCTTTCTCCAACATTATTTTACGGGTTGAGAGAAATTAAAATTAGGAATACGTCTATTATGCAGGTTTAAAGTTTCAGGGACAACAGAACGATCATTCATGACCATGAAAGCAGAAAAATGGGCGCTGATTTTGGGAGCTTTTATGGGTTTTGAGCAGTAATTAGATAATTCTTATATATATTCCCGGTTTTGAGCATGTTCTCAAATCACAGTTCGAACACTTTGTGCGCCAGTTTCATAGGATTGTCAGTGGTTACTGTAAACTTAATAGCAATACAACAACCATGCTCATGATAGTTTCCTATGGAAAATGTGTTTATTATTGGTTCTGTCACTCTCAAGTTTCTCTGAATGTTCTCTTTCTGTGCATTAATGTATAAAGGGGATAAGTTTCTAAAGAAGCTGTGGTGCAGTGTCGGTGGGGGAGTATAGGAGGGTGGCCAATTTATTTTATCAACTCAGTTGATAATACTTAATTACCCCATTAATATAACAGTTGGTTGATCTGCCCACACAAAAAGTGTGCAAGATTAATGTGAAGAAGTGAAGATTCTGCGAGTGAGCAATAAGTTATGTGTGACTACTATACTGAAAATGTGTGCTTGCTCTTTTAATTATATGTTTTGAACTATTTTAGTGGGTTGACTTAGAAATGACACAAGATTGTTTAAATGTTTGTATATTAACCAAGGTGCTTGTTACTTTTTGTATCTACTTTATCACATCTTCAATATATATTAATCTACTATTCAAAAGGAAGCCAAGTGTTACGTGCCAAGGCTTAAACTTTGTCTTGAAGTCAGTGTTGATGGGATGTTGAAATAAAACAAATTTAATTTATTTTGAATATGTCATCATCCACAAAATATCAAATGACCTAGATGCTTTTCTTTTGATTCGTAGCAGGGTGTCAGAATCATCATAGAAAATAAAAGAACAACAGGAGAAGGTGCAGTGTTTGATAATTAAATAATATGTTTCTTCCAACATCTTAAATTGTTAGTCTCAGTGTGCATTCCCTTGAAATGTAAGAAATAAGTGAATGATAATTAATGGGAAGAATGGAAAGGTGGAGATAAACAAACCTCACATTTTTGTAAACCCTTGATCTCCCTTGAGTAACCGAGACAAATTTTCTCTTAAAAATATCAGGGAGGGCAGAGAGGCTAGGGGTCACAAATGACCTGGAAATTCTCATTGAATTTACATTTCATCAGTGGCTTAACCTATACACTTTCTCTGACCACCTGTGTGGCAATGAACATATGAACACTACAGTAATGCAGTAAAGATGTCATAACCAGTTTCATCTATTTGTTTTTCTTCATAATCAGTTTTGTGAATGCCTACAGCACACCAGTTCCAACATTTTCATCTAGAAAAAAAATGAAAACATACCCCTTCCTTTGCCAAATTTGATCTAGTTTTGCACATTTTATTCACTATCCTGCATTCTCCCAATTTCCAAGAAAGGTGGGATAGGATATTTCTTGAAGCATTTAAAATCCTATTAAAGCCATAACAGTCAAGAGTATTAATTAACTGGATGAACTCTGAGCTAGGGTCAATTCTCAATAAATCTGCATTTACTGTTCAGATCTAATTTTTCCATGCTTTTAAATGTCTCCTTGTTTTTGCATTGATTTGGCTCTCTTGGACTAAAAATGTGTTTGTTTAATTTAACAGACTCACAGCAGGCTCTTCCATATTTAGAAATTAAGGAAGAAGCAAAAGGTGAAGAGAAGAAACTGCCCATACTTCCTCCCACTCCTTTGGAGTTATGCTGCATGAGTGGCTGTCAGAACTGCGTCATGATTCAACATGCTGAGGAATTAATAAAGATGTATGGTGACGACTCAGCAGCCAGAGCTGCTCTGGAAGAAATTCCAGATGAGGGTCTCAAAGCTTTCCTCAAAATGGAACTAATGCTAAAAAAATAGGCACAGACAAATGTTTGTTCTTTTCAGTGTATTTCTAATAAACAAAAGGATAAAAAACTGCCAATGATTGGTACATTCATATACAGATTACACTTCAAGTAACATTCATAAACTTCTAAAAACACAAATGATATGAATCCTTAATTTTTACAAGGAAACATTTTATTCACTTTTTTAGCATAAAAATAACAAATTTTTCTTTTAGTAAGAAGCTAGAAAACACATGCTATTGTACAGTTTCATATGAAGCCATCTCAGTGTCCCATCAAAATCAGTAAGTGCACAAATCAGCTGACTGAAATTTTAATTTGTACAAAAAGGCTGAAGCATGATAATTTTAGGTAAAGTTGAGCGTTTCTTTTGTTTAATTTTTTCAATTTAAAGTAATGTTTTTAAGGGCAATTAACAAAATTAACAAACAATTACATTGGCATTTGTCTCAGCCAATCAGCATTTGATAATGCCATCTATGTCATAATAGAAGAAAATGGCTAGGGTGATGTGATGAGAATGATTTCTCAATTTAAAAGTATAGAATTGATGTCACAGTGTGAATAATACAGTCACTTTTGCAATCATCTCTTAGCTCAAACTCTGATGTGTACTGATTTTTTGAAGGGAATTGACACTTACCTAACTAAAACCAAGGATATGATGAAGAAAATATGCCAACAGGTATAGAAAACCATAAAGTTTAAGTTGCCAGAGTAACCTAAACTCATCAAATCTATACTCTGCTTCTACTGCCCTTAGTGCCACTCTCAACCCAACAGGGTAGGGTATCAACTCCAATAGGTACCTAAAAATTCCAGTATTCTCGTTCAGCTTGTAGTATTTTACATATTGCATCAACAGCATAGTAGTTACCATAAAAAGGAGATCGTCAAAATTCTGGAACCCAAAGAGCTCCATATGAAGAGAAGACATTTTCAAAGTCTGTATGCGTCTGTCATAGTACGACCCAGCTAGGGGATAGTTCAAGATCATTGATTGCCTAAAATTTTTCTTCACTGATGACCACATGCAAGCTGCGTAGTTTTCAGGTCTGTTCAAACTGGGATCATTTAGAGCTACTTGTTGTGAGACACGTTCTAAACATTCTGCTGCCGTCTGGAATAGGTGATGATTCTCTGGGTAATGTTTGGCATAGATTTCAAGAGCTTGACGATAGTTATGAGCTGCCTCACGAAGCTCACTGCATTTTTCAAATACCATTCCAAGATTCAGCATCGAGTCACCTAGTTCAGAATGATCACTTTCCAATTTCTCCATCCGAATGTTCCTTGCTTGGAGGTGACAGTTCTTGGATTCCTGCAATTGTCCAAGATCCATGTACACCTGTCCTAGATTACTCAGTGCTTCTGCTGTCGCAGGATGTTCTCCATCTAACACCCTCTCTCTGATAGATAATGCAGATTTGAAGCAATCCATTGCTTTTTTGGGTTGACCAGCACCCCTGTACATCAGTCCTAGGTTGTTGTAGGATTCAGAAATCACAAGGTGGTTGGGCTGGTACAGTTTCTTCCTCATTTCAAACGCTTCCTCAAGATGTTGTTGCGCGTCTCTGGTTTCAGCTAGTTCACAATGCACAATTCCAAGATTGTTTAAGCAGTCGGCGACCTGGGGATGGGTTTCCTCAAAGCATTTTTTCGCTAGGGCAAGTGATCTTTGGTAATAATACTTTGCAATCTGGTGCTCACCCAAGACGCTGTAGATGGATGCAAGATTGTTAAGGGAGGAAGCAACAGCAGCATCCTCTTCACCACACAACTCCTCCCTCATTTTTAGCGACCTGATGAAGTAATCCTTTGCATCATCAAAGTGGCTTAGTCTATAGAATACATTTCCCAGTTTGTTCAAAGAGTCCGCAACTTCCCGACTTGACTTTTGGCCCTGATTCAAGTTGTAGCCGAGATGATTCAATGCACGCTCATGGTGTTTTTTAGCCTCTTCAAACATTCCTTGTTTCAAGAAGACGACACCTGTATTGTTTAGAATCTTGGCAATGAAAGCTTTGTCGTCTTCGTTCTCTTCTTCTTTACTGCAGGCGATTTTGAGGGCACATTCAAAGTATTTCAATGCTGCTGGTAGATAATCTTGTTTGCTGCAAATGTCACCCATACTAAAAATCCCTTCTTTGACTTCATTTAAGCATTCATGTCTTGTCATGTGCAGTACCCAGTTTGAAGGATCCAAGTGGCTACTGAATGCTCTTAAATGGGGGGCTATCATGTTTGAAAAGGGGTGAAACTGGTCCAATTCTACAAGGTCATGTTGGACAAATAGAGATATTGTCTTGATGTATGAGTGAACGATCTCAAAGACTTTATCTGTGGTGTTCTTCTCGATGAAATGACTTTTCATCACCTCGTGTACAACCCGGTGCACTCTTACAAGAGCAGGATTATCTGCATCTGGGATAAGCAGACAGCATTTGGAAATTTCTGCTGTTGTGAGGAACTCGTCGATATCCGGTTCCATTTCCATCATATATTTGACAATTACATTTAGTGCAATTGGTGCTTCCGAACACAAAGCTAGGAACTGGAACACACGCTCAAAAACGGTGTTCTTGATAAGTTTTTGCAATGTCAATGAGACAGCTGAAGTCATTGACTGTGGATAATTCATTTCTGTCTCTTCGTAGACCTTTTCTGTTGCCTTTCTCTTTCCCTTGTCCAGTTTCTTGACATAGCTTTCCCATGTGAAACGTTCAGAGCCAATATGCGTTCCTACTCCATCGTGTAAGAATCGAACATACAGTGCTGCTGAAGCAATGGCCAAAGGCTGGTGATCTAAGGCATCTAATACTGCATGTTCTTCTTCATCATCAACGGGTGAAAGCCGGGAGATACTCCTGAGAAGATTCACTGCGTCGTTTACTTGCATTCCCTCACTGAGGGAAATCGTTTTGCATGAAGGGTCACCAAATGGGAGATAGATGCTCTCTTGCGTGGTAACAAGTAGCTGTCCACAACCTCCTTGCTCTCCTTTCTCTGACAACAAGCAGCGTAAGCTCTCACTCTCATCAGCGTTATCCAATATGAGCAACCAGGTGGAATACTTTCTTACCTTGGAAAATGCAAAGCTTTTCAGATGTGTAATTTTTTCTTTCTTCGTCAATTTGGAATCGCCTCCTACGATATTATTTAGAGAGTATTCCGTGATTCCAAGCTCACGGCAAAATCTCTTATACGATTCAAGCAAAGTCTCTTCGCTATCAGCATCCAGTGTCATGACAAATGAGTTGCAATCAGGGTTCTCATCAGCAAATTTTCGTCCAACTTGATGAGCAATCTGACTCTTGCCACATCCTGGATTTCCGGTGACAAACACGGTTACAACAGAATCATCGTCACTTCCGTTTTGGAGGTCACAAAGCATCTGCATGATTTCTTTGACTTCACTACTCCTTTCAATGACTTTGTGTGATGGCTTGGGTGGAAGAACTACAAAGTTTTTGGGCTTACCTTGAATTTCTTTCTCTAAGACGGCAATTTGCTCTTGGAGTGTTTGAAGCTCCCCTGTGGGAAAGTTCCGTTGATTTACCACTGTCTGCAGTTCTGTTGTGTCAAGATTTAGAGCTATAAACGCGTTTGTGACCTTCTGAACATTGGCCTGAAAGTCTGATTCCAAAACTCTTGGTTGGGAAAGATGCGCAAAAAACCCATTGCGGAATTCTCGCAAATCATTAACGTTACTATATACAGTAGGACTTGCACGTGACAGAAGTCCGCCAAGGGTATCGGAATAGAGAATCGCAAAGAAAAGGCAGGTACAATCCCAGGAACCGCTGTCTCCATATCTAATGCTGTTCAGAAGCCTATAGTTTCTCTTTCGGCTTTTTCGTGATTCCATGTGGAAAAAATCCATGCCATTACTGCGAGTGTCAAGCCATTGTCCACGTCTACTTCCATATAATCTATTCCATTCTTGTTTGAAAACTGATTGCAGGCCATCCCGTATGATTTTTGTAGTGATGTAACAAATACGGAAATAATTAAGCTCTTCCAAAGAGTACTCTTTGCTCGACATTTCTCATGTTTATCTAGCCGCTGTTTGGTCTAAAAAAAACAACAACGTGTTCTTAGAATATCATACCAATTTAAAGAATGTCAGGTTGAATTTTCATTTCAATGCATACGTTAGTAGCATTTGAAAGTCATAAATGACGATGACACGACTCTTATGCTAATGTGTATGAAAACACTTAATAAACTATCTTTACAATGTATTTCAGGTCTATCCATGCATTTCTTACGTATTTACCAACAATTTAATGGCTAGTCTTAATGGAAATAAAAAGGAAAAATAGAGCAAAATAATATGCAGATAATCCATCACAAGGTCCTTGGCCGCCAAAAGAAACAGATCACTATCCTGAACAATAATTCACAATTATTCACCAAAGTGGAGGTGAATAATTGTTTTAGTATATACCACACAGATACCAAAAAAAAAGTTTATTTCCCTTAACAAAGCAAAAAATGGTCGGACATAAAACTCCTGACATGCGATTTGTCTCATGAGCTGCTCCGAGGTGAACAGTACTTCCAAATTACAGAATAAAAACAAACCAAAGGTAAAACAATTTTTAATATAAAGTTAACATACTAATAAAATGATAAACAAATAAATTGATCCTACCACCATCCTTATTGAAGTGACAGTAATTTAAAAATGTTCAAATCTTCAAAAGTATTCACATCATTTGCTCGACGAATTTTTTGGGAAAGATCTTAAGATTCCAGCTGTGAGAAGAACTGTATTAAAAAACCATCCCTTGTATATTCCCTGTGTTAAGACGAATTTTTAGGAGAATGACGCCTTGTCTGAAAAAATCGTCGGAAAAGGCATGAAATCTGGCACATGCTATGTCGCGTGCATAGGATTCCAATCTTAACACTCAGTATTGACTTCTAAGTTTATGTTTGTGAGTTCTGTGATATGGTTCATGAGTGTATGCGATTCTAGCTGTATCAAATGGTGTACAACACTTTCTTGTATTTGAGCGGATGTTCATGTGAGCGAAACTTTTCACGTTGTTTCTACTGTTTTGGGAAACATGTTGGAAAGAATCAGTAGAGATTTGGAAGCAGTACACAAATAGATTTCTGATTTGATGGATAAAGCTTGCTTTGTATGCACGGATACTAACTTCTGCAATGCCTAAGATATTCCAAGAACTGGCTTCTTTCAAATGTAATAAGCACTGGTATCAAAGGAGGTTCTGTTATTTGAGTACATAAGTCAAAATTCAAAAGGCCTAAAAGATAAAAATTCACTAAGAATTGTCACTGCTGAAAATAAGTAAAAGTCCAAGTATCGAAAATAGATAATATGAAAGTAACAGTAAATAACAATTATAACATTTTAAGACGTGTCTACGTCATTTGCACAACGAATTTTTTGGGCAAGATCTTAAGATTCCAGCTGTGGGAAGAACTGTATTCAAAAACCGTATTTCCTCTTTCAAGATGAATTGTTATGAGAATGATGCCTTGTCTGAGGAAATTGTCGGAAACGGGATTAAATCTGGCACATCCTAGGTTCCGTGCATAGGATTTTAATCTCAACACTCGGTATTTAAACCTGATATTACATTTGTAGGTTCCGTGAAATAGCTCATCAGCGTATGCGACTCTAACTGTATCAAATGGTGCATAACACTTTCTTGTATTTGCATGACGGGCGGAAGCTCATTCAAGCGAAACTTTTCGTGTTGTTTCTACTGTTTTGAAGAACAAGTTGGAAAGAATCAGTAGAGATTTGGAAGCAGTACACAAAGAGATTTCTGATTCGATGGATAAAGCTTGCTTTGTATACACAGATACTAACTTCCGTAATGCCCAAGATATTTTCAAGAACTGGCTTCTTTCAAATATTGAAATCCGCTGGTTATGAGCAAGGAAATGTTATGATTTCGGGAAATAAGCAACCTAGTTAGTAAATATGCTTAGTTAAGGCAGGATAACCGTTGTACCGCAGTTGGTAACAAATATTTTATACAGTGCGGATTGCAAGTAAATGTACCGAATGCAGTTGAGGCCATGGATCTCTCTCGGATAACCATACGTGGTCGGGCATGATTGACTGAGTTGGTCAGGGTCAAAATTAATTAAACACTCACCTAGGCTAAGATGATCTGCAAAGTCAATTCTTGTTACATTTTTACAGAGGAGTTTACTTACCTGTGGAAATCACGCTAAACGAAGAATTCCAGCTGCAGACGTTCGCGTTATTATTGTGGCGAGACGAGCCTGGATCGGACTCGTTAAAAATCTTTCTCGTTCCAGTCCTAATAAATTTTTTAGTTACTTTGTAACTCGCAAATTTATGGATGCTAGTTGGTCCAAAATGCCTTCCATGAATCTGTTCAAGTCTTGAGCGGTTTTAAGTACTGTAGGAGATACATAAGGCTACAAGAATGGCAAGTAGGAATTCTGTTACTCCGGAGAGACTATTCATTAGCAGTTGCAAACACACCGAGGCCTCGAGAAAATTGAAGTCAAGGGCTGGATTGTAAGCGACGACAACTGGCCACTGCTGAGGCTCGTGCATCTCCCTGGAAAACACGTGAAGAACTTTTCCTCAAATTACAAAGCTGGCATGGTAAGCAGAATACCTTTGAAATCGAATTAATGTCAGATCCAACCATTGAATCTGCACAATTGGGCAATCTTGAAGGAAAGTAATGAGGTTGGGGGAATGGTTGAGGAGGGGGACAGATGTATTTCAGGGATGTTATCATCAAAACTCTTATGACAAATTCCACTTGGGTTGTTTAAGTAAGAATGTCGGAAAGAATCAGCGGAGATTTGGAAGCAGCACACGAATAGATTTCTGATTTGATGGATAAACAAATTCCATTTGGGTTGTCAAAATAGGTGTTGCTGTTGCTTGCAACAGGTCGCCTCAGGATTTCTGTCACAAGGATGACCCAACCAAATGTAAACTGCAGCTTCAGAGTTTAGAACATGTACTTTCAGAATTACCTAGGAAAAATATTCATTTCGTTACCAATTTTATTTTTAAGAAAGATGAACAATGTTTTTAAGTATCTCAACTTAAATTGCTGGTTTACTGAATGCATAGATTTCTTGATGCTCAAACTCATCAAAGATCAAGTAACCCCTTTTTAAGTTTTCAGCGTCTAATTTAGGGGAATTCTGTTGTGTTGTCATGGCATTGCAGTAGGGTTAACAAATTGTGTTGTTTTCATGCTTGCCAAATCAGAGAAATTTCACTGCATGCATTTTCCCACCATTGAGTTTCATGGAAATACAAGGTGCTTCTTGAATGACTAAAAATTGACTCAGTATGAGATATATTTTGATAGACTCTTTACTGTTGTTTTTAAGTGTTTTTCTATCAGTTATCTCAAAATTCATTTTATTGTGTTATAAGGAAAAGCTTACCTATTTTGTAATGTAGCATCCAGTCACTATGTTTTGATTGTTAGTGAAGTGGACAATTTTTATTTCAGAGGAGAATGTGCATCATTAGATAAAAAGAGAGCTGCTTTCTAGCAAAGTGGTGATGGCAACTTAGAAGCTATAGAAGATGAGTGCTCTGTTGTGGAGGAACCTCCTTTGTTATTTCAATTGAGTGTCATAGGATATATTTCCTGAAATTTACCTCTTTGATGTTCAGTGCTGTTTGTCACACGTGGCAAGGAAACAAGCTGTTATATCTGTCAAATGTAAGTGCAAAACAGTGGACAGAACGTAGCACTGAGACTAGCTTATAATTAGCTTCTATTGAAACAAGAGGGCACTTTTGAGAAAAAGCTTACATGTTGTAGAAATTTTGGAAAAGATTGCAAATGCTGGAATAGTCGATTTCACAGTTGTGTGCTTTGTTGCCAAGCCTTTGAAAAGGTATGAGGCTAAGGGTGATCTTTTTATGATACAAACCTTGCTGCATTTCAAATGTAAATTACTTTGTTATCATCAGATGCAAACTAGATACTGGTCTCTATCACAACATGGTCAGCTTCAGCCTCACTCCAAATCAAAGGCTTGGCAACTAAGTACACAACTGTAACATGGTCCATTACAAGGTTTTTTTCTAAAGGTTTCTTGAAGGGAGCTGAATAATGCCTGCCTGATACTGACAGACGAATTTAAAGTTGCTGCTTCTTCCATTTTTCCTTTCTCTAACTTTATTTTTATTTTAAGGGTGGAGAGAAATTAAAACCAGGAATATGTCTATTGTGCAGGTTGTCAGTTTCAGGGACAATAAAACAATAATTTATTACCATGAAAATATAAGATTAGGTGCTGGTTTTGAAAGCTTTTGTGGGTTTTGGGTGGTAATGAGATAACTACTATTAATATATACTCCCAGTTTTGAGCAAGTTCCCATAACATCGTTTGTTCACTTTGTACACCAGTTTCAAAGGATTGTCAGTGGTTACTGTAAACTTCGTGGCGACACAACAACCATGCACATGTGTCACACTTTTCATGTTAGTTTCCTTGGAAAATGTGTTTATTATTTTCATGGTTCTGTCATGCCTAAGTTTCTGTGTGCATGAATGTATCAGTTGGTTGATCTGTTCATGCAAAAAAATTATATAAGGTGTGGAAGATTGGTGTCAAGTGAAGATCCTGCAAGTGAGCAATAAGTTAGATGTGACTGCTGTACTGAAAATGTGATGGAAATGTGTTGCCCCCCTCCTTCCCCCTTTGGGAGTGAAATGGTTGACAAATTTCATCTGGCTTTGCATTTTTTCTCCCCCATCCCACATCCTCCCAATTTCCAAGCAAGGTTGGATGGGATATTTTGTGAGGCATTTAAAATTTAACAGACAAGATTATGAATGGACTGGATGAACTCTTAGCTAAGGTCAATTCTCAACAAATCTGCAGTTACTGTTTAGATCAAATTTTTTCCATGCTTATAAATTTCTCCTCTTCTTGTTTTTGCATTGATTTGGCTCTCTTAGACTAAAAATATGTTTGTTAACTTAACAGACTCACAACAAGCTGTTCCACATTTAGAAATTAAGGAAAGCGACAAGGAAAAGGCGAAGAGAAGAAACTGCCCATACTTCATTGCCCTCCTTTTGAGTTATGCAGCATGAGTGGCTGTCAGAACTGTGTCATGTTTTTCAACATGCTGAGGAATTAATAACGATGTATGATGATGACTCAGCAGCCAGAGCTGCTCTGGAATAAATTCCAGATGAGGGTCTCAAAGCTTTCCTAAAAATGGAACCAAAGCTAAAAAAACAAATCCAGACAAATATTTTTTCTTCTTGGTTTATTTCTAATAAACAAAAGTATAAAAAAAACTGAGGTCATTTTTAGAGCCCTGCCAATGATTGGTACATGTATATACAGATTACACTTAAGGTAACATTCATAAACTGTAACTTCAGTGAACAACAGTGACACTAATCCTTACTTTTTACAAGGAAATGTTTTTTTTTTTTTTTTTACTTTTTTAAAATAAAAGGACAAATTTCCTCTTATTAAGAAGGTAGAATACATATGCTGTTGCGCAGTTATGTAGGAAGCCATTTCAGTGTTCAATTAGTGGAATGAAGTTTTATTTTTGTACAATTAAGCCAAAGCATAATACTTTTAGTTAAAGTTGAGTCTTTTTTTTTATTTTTTCAATTTCAAGTAATGTTGCCAAGGGCAATTGACAAAATTAAAGAAAAATCAGCATTTGATAATGCCCTCTATGTCATAATAGAAGAAAATGGCTTGGGTGATGTGACGAGAATGATTTCTCAAGTTTAAAATTTTAGAATGGATGTGACTTTTTCAATAATATAGTCACTGTTCCAGTCATCAAAGATATGATCAAGAAAGTACACCAACAGGTATAGAAAACCCCAAAATTTAATTTCATGGAGTAATTTAAAATTATGAAATAGGAGATCTAATTCTAGTGCCCTTGATACCACACTATACCCAACCAAGTAGGGTATTGACTCCAATAATTCCTTACAAAACCTAGCATTCTCGTCCTGCTTATAGTATTTGACATATTGCATAGCCAGGATAAAAGTTACAAAAAACCCCAAGAGACCCAGCATAGGAAAATCAGCCAAATTCTGCATGGCTCTGTTATAATATGATCCAGCAAACGGATAGTTCAAGATCATTGATCCCCGGACACTTTTCTTCATTGATGACCAGATGCGAGCTGTGAAGTTTTCAGGCCTGTTCAAACTGCAATCCTGTAAATCTGCTTTTTGTGAGACACGTTTTAAACATTCTTCTGTTGTCTGGCATAGATGATGATTCACTGGGTAATGCTTGGCATAGATTTCAAGGGCTTGACGATAGTTATAAGCTGCCTCATGAAGCTCATTGCATTGTTCAAATACCATTCCAAGATTCAGCATCGAGTCACCTAGTTCTGAATTATCACTTTCCAACTTCTCCATCCGAATGTTCCTTGCTTGGAGGTGACAATTTTTGGATTCCTGCAATTCTCCAAGATCCATATACACCTGTCCTAGATTACTCAATACTTCTGCTATTGCGGGATGTTCTTGATCTAACACCCTCTCTCTGATAGATAATGCAGATTTGAAGCAATTCATTGCTTTTTCAAGTTGACCAGCACCCCTGTGCATCAATCCTAGGTTGTTGTAGGATTCAGAGATCACAAAGTGGTTGGGCTGGTACAGTTTCTTCCTCATTTCAAACGCTTCCTCAAGATGTTTTTGCGCATCTCTGGTTTCATCTAGTTCACAATGCACAATTCCAAGATTATTTACGCAGTGTGCAACCTGGGGGTGGGTTTCCCCAAAGCATTTTTTGGTTAAGGCAAGTGATCTTTGGTAATAATCCTTTGCAATCTGGTGCTCACCCAAGATGCTGTAGATGGATCCCAGATTGTTAAGGGAGGAAGCAACAGCAGCATCCTCTTCACCACACAACTCCTCCCTCATTTTTAGCGACCTGATGAAGTAATCCTTTGCATCATCAAAGTGGCTTAGTCTATAGAATACATTTCCCAGTTTGTTCAAAGAGTCTGCTACTTCTTGACTCGACTTTTGGCCCTGATTCAAGTTGTAGCCGAGATGATTCAATGCACGCTCATGGTGTTCTTTAGCCTCTTCAAACATTCCTTGCTTCAAGTAGACGACACCTGTATTGTTTAGAATCTTGGCAATGAAAGCTTTGTCGTCTTCACTCTCTTCTTCTTTACTGCAGGTGATTTTGAGGGCACATTCAAAGTATTTCATTGCTGCTGGTAGATAATCTTGTTTGCTGCAAATGTCACCCATGCTGAAAATCGCTTCTTTGGCTTCAAATAAGCTTTCGTGTCTTGTCACGTGCAGTACCCAGTTTGAAGGATCCAAGTGGCTACTGAACGCTTTTAAATGGGGGGCCATCATGTTAGAAAAGAGGTGAAACTGGAGGTCCAGTTCTACAAGGTCATGTTGGACAAACAGAGATATTGTCTTGATGTATGACTGAACGATCTCAAAGACTTTATCTGTAGGGTTCCTCTTGATGAAATGACTTTTCATCACCTCGTGTACGACCCGGTGTACTCTTACAAGAGCAGAATTATCTGCATCTGGGATAAGCAGACTGCATTTAGAAATTTCTGCAGCTGTGTGGAACTCGTCAATATCTGGTTCCATTTCCATCACATATTTGACAATTATGTTAAGTGCAATTGGTGCTTGCGAACACAAAGCTAGGAACTGGAACACATGCTCAAAAATGGCATTCTTGACAAGTTTTTGCAATGTCAGTGAGACAGCTGAAGTCACTGACTGTGGATAATTCATTTTCGTATCTTCGTACACCTCTTCTGTTGCCTGGCTTTTTCCCTTGTCCAGTTGCTTGACATAACTTTCCCATGTGAGACTTGCAAAACCAATATCCGTTCCTTCTCCGTCATGTAAGAATCGAACATACAGTGCTGCTGAAGCAATGGCCAAAGGCTGGTAATCTAAGGCATCTAATACTGCGCGTTCTTCTTCATCATCACCACTTGAAAGGTGGGAGATACTCCTGAGAAGATTCATGGCATCTTTTACTTGCATCCCCTCACTGAGGGAGATCATTTTGCATGAAGGGTAACCAAATGGAAGACAGGTGCTCTCTTGTGTAACAAGTAGTTGTCCACAACCTACATGTTCTCCTTTCTCTGACAAGAAGCAGCGTAAGCTTTCACTTTCGTTGGCATTATCTAATATGAGCAACCAGGCTGAATACTCTTGTACCTTGGAAAATGCAAAGCTTTTCAGATGCATAATTTTTTCTTTCTTTGTCAATTTGGAATCGCTTCCTACGATATTATTAAGACAGTATTCCGTGATTCCAAGCTCACGGCAAAATCTCTTATACGATTCAAGCAAAGTCTCTTCGCTTTCAGCATCCAATGTCATGACAAATGAGTTGCAGTCCGGGTTCTCATCAGCAAATTTTCGTCCAACTTGATGAGCAATCTGACTCTTGCCACATCCTGGATTTCCGGTGACAAACACAGCTACAACAGAATCATCGTCACTTCCGTTTTGGAGGTCACAAAGCATTTGCATGATTTCTTCAACTTCGCTACTCCTTTCAATGACCTCATGCGATGGCTTGGGTGGAAGAACTACAAAGTTTTTGGGCTTACCCTGAACTTCCTTTGCTAAGACGGCAATTTGCTCTTGGAGTGTTTGAAGCTCCCCTCCAGGAAAGTTCCACTGATTGACTATTGTTTGCAGTTCCTTTGTGTTAAGATTTAGAGCTAGGAATGCATTTGTGACCTTCTGAACATTGGCTTGAAAGTCTGATTCCAAAACACTTGGTTGAGAAAGATGTGCACAAAAACCATGATAGAATTCTTGCAAATCTTTAACATAACTATGTACAGTAGGACTTACATGTAACAGAGGTCCACCGAGGGAATCAGAAAAGAGAATCACAAAGAAAAGGCAGGTACAATCCCAGGAACCGCTGTCTCCATATCTAATTCTGTTCAGAAGCCTATAGTTTCTCTTCCGGCTTTTTAGTGATTCCATGTTGAAAAAGTCCATCCCATTACTGGGAGTGTCAAGCCATTGTCCACGCCTACTTCCATACAATCTATTCCATTCTTGTTTGAACACTGATTGCAGGCCATCCCGTACAATTTTTGTACTGATGTAACAAATACGGAAATAATAAAGCTCTTCCAAAGAGTACTCTTTGTTTGACATAGTTCGTGTTTATCTTGCTGCTGATTGATCTGTAAAAAAAAAACAATGTGTTTTTAGAATATCAAATCAATTTAAAGAATGTCAAGTTGAATTTTCATTTGAATGCACACGTTAGTAGCATTTCAAAGTCATAAATGACAATGACACGACTCATTCTAATGTGTATGAAAACACTTAATAAACTATCCTTAAAATGTATTTCAGGTCTATCCATTCCTTAAGTATTTATCTACAATTTAATGGCTAGTCCTAATGGAAATGAAAAGGAAAAAGAGAGCAAAATAACATGCAGTTAATCCATTACAAGGTCCTTGGCTGCCAATAGAAACAGATCCCTATCCTGAACAATAATTAACAATTATTCACCAAAGTGGAGGTGAATAATTGTTTTAGTATATACCACACAGATATAAAATAAAATTATTTATTTCCTTGAATTAAGAAAATAATGATCTGAAATTAAACTCTTGACATTTTGTCCCATGAGCTGCTCTGAGGTGAATAGTACTTCCAAACTAGCCATCAGCACATGTGAAATGCATTATTCACCTGTGTAGTATGTACATGAACATGTACTAATGCAGAATAAAAACACACCAAGGTAAAACATTTCTTAACATAAAATTAACATAGTAATAAAAAAAGTAAACAAATAAATTGATCCTACCACCATCCTAATTGAAGTAACATTAAATGAAAAATTTTTGTTAAGTATTTACATCATTTGCACAACAAATTTTTTGAGTAAGATCTTAAGATTCCAGCTGTGGTAAGAACTCTATTCAAAAACCATCCCCAGTGTATTTCTTTTTTAATCCTTTAATTCCCATGAGTGACCAAGACAGAATTTCTCCCTACAATATCAATACAATATCAAGTATCCAAGTAATAGGAATAAAGAAAAATATCAGTCAAAGGATTATCAGTTGATCCAATACCAAATCCTCTGAACTAACATCATAAGAACTGTATGGCAGACAGTAAGGAGAATTACTAATGAGATCCTGGGGGTGAAAGCTAGGGGTTAAGATTAGTTGTTATGAGAATGACGCCTTGTCTGAAATTGTCCAAAACAGCTTCAAATAATAATAATAATAATAATAATAATATTTATACATGATAACCTTATCAGTGTAATAAGCACTGGTATTAACAAAGGTTCTGTTATTTGAGTACATAAGTCAAAATTCAGAAGGCCTAAAAGGTAAAAATTCACTAAGAATTGTCACAGCTGAAAATATGTAAAAGTCCAAGTATCAAAAATATATAATGTGAAAGTAACAGTAAATAA